ATAAAATCTTTGGGGGGGGTAAAAAAAAACTTTGACTATGACTAAGATCTGTTTCAACACATTTGACCCACAGAAATGTCAGCCAAAATGATCACCAATGGAGAATAATTAAGTCAGGAATTATGTATCCATTGTGTGGAGTAAAAGCAGATTTACAAAAGAATATAAAAGTACATTTAAATTTTTCGAGGGATATTAGTAGGCCTGTACAAGATTAATCCTAAACTTGATTCATACCACATTTTAATCAATGGTCTAAGAATGGCCTGGCATATTATTTATTGATGTATCTAAAACTCAACTCCAGAATATGAAGTGACTATTGCAAGTATCCTTCTATACACTCTCTACCCACATGGTAAGAATACAGAACATTTTTCCTAATAATGGATGTCACTTGGGCAGGACTGGATAAATTTAAATACTTTTTTCATTGGCACAATTTCACCAATCGTCCATGCTATCCCCTACTTTATGTAATTATTTATTCATTCATTGTTTGGCTTATTCATTTACTTTTGTACTCATGAAAAGTTAAACATCTATTTTTCCAGAGAAAACACAATATGAACAACCAACCAATCAACCACCCAAATTGTAACACAATTAAATGCAACTGTACATATGAACCTGACCCAAAGTTGGAAGAGCCTGGCTTGTTTTTTTCTTTATCCAAATCAGCAAGGTACACCAGGACAAACAATTCACATTGTTTTTTTTAACACATGCCGTACGTTGGTCCATTCTTTACCCCAGCGGTTCTCAGCAGAAGACATTTGCCAACGTCTGGAGACATTTTTTGTTGTCACATCTGGGAGAGTGGGGTGAATATTGGCCTCTAGTGAGTAGAGGTCAGTGACAGGACAGCCGCCCATGAATTATCCAAATGTCAATAGTGAGAAATCCTGCTTCATTTACCCCTTTCAAAATAATTTGTTGAGAGATGAATGTATTTATACATTCACTCATAACCTCGTCAATATTCATGAATGTATACAAAATGGATTAGAAATTTGAACGGTATTAACAGCTGTTCATGTGCTCATTACTCTCAGATACAGCCAACTAGATCATATTTCTTTGTTTTTAATAAGCAACCAGCACCTCCCCAAAATGAGAACAGCAGCACTGATTTCTAGGTATTTATCTCTAAATGCTCCTTACCCAAGTAGGGGTCATATTTAATCAATTTATGTTGGAACTGAGTGCCTCAGAACTGTATTAATAATAATAAATACACTACACATCATAATAAGGCCACATATGGCTCTCCTTGTCCTCATTCATATATTTATTTAATCATTTTTTAATTCACTTCTAGTAATACAATCCTATGAACCTTAAGAGCCGAATAACAAAATCCTAAATATTACTAACTTCAGCTGTGAGCTCATTTACCATATTGGCTTAACTTGGTCTCTGACCTCAGAGTTATAGGGTTTAATCAAAATCATTGATTCAGACACCCCAGAATGTTCATCATTGGTCCATACTTGGCACCCTTTCCTTCCTTCATTTGTGCCTTTGTGATTGATCCCTTCATTAAGTCACTAATAATAACCAAGTCAATATACATGAATCAAAAATCCTAAACACAAGATCCTAGACTATTACTAAGCTGTATCTATAGGCTTGTTTTCCATAAAATAATAGAGCACATCTGTTTTGCAATGCATTACAACATTATATATAGATTATCAACCTCTTTGCTTTACATCAGTCCCATATTTATACTTTGTCCATGCTGGCCATTCTTTTATTTAATTTTTCCATGTTTTAAACATGGTACATGGTACATGGGTGGTAGCCAGCCCCCAAGACAGCTCCCAATGGTCTCTGACTGCTGGTACTCATAGTCTTGTGTAGTCTCCCATATTAAATCACACTTGGCCTCTATGACCAGTAGACTACCGTGGAAGAGATGGTGTCTGACTTCTGAGTCTAGGTTGTAAATACATTCAGGCTTCCACCTTCCTCTCCCTTGGATGGAACTGCTGTAGAGGAGCTCAACTGTGATGGTGTAAAGATACTCCAACAGTCCCGAGGAGAGGTCCATGAGGGAAGGAACTGTGGCCTCCCGCCAACAGCCAGCACCAACGATCCCGCCATGTGAGCGAGCCGTGGAAACAGACCCCCAGCCCCAGTCGAGCTTCCTGGTGACTGCAGTTCTACCTGACATCTTGACTACAACCACACGATAGACCCTAAGGCAACACTGCCCACGAAGCCGCTCCTGGATTCCTGCCCCATTGAAACTGGGACAGATCACAAATGCTTACTGTTGTTTTAAGCCACTAAGTTGTAGGGCAGTTCGTTACACAGCGATAGATAACTAATACAATACAATGATCAGCCAGCCACAGTCATATCTCACAATGATACTATCTTCCCCTCTTCCTATCTGCTCCTGCCTCCAGGAGTTAATGGCTGAGACCTTGATAACCGACTAAATGTTTAAATTAACCACGGTACAAAATAAAATATTATATTAAAAACTCAAAAGTGATTTAAAAGCCCTCCATCATTTTTTAATGGAGTTCAGTTGCACTGAATTGGACTAATCATAAACTTTGGTTAATTTCCATAATTGGTCCCTGCGTGGCATCCTTTGATTTTATTTATGTATTTAGTATTTATTCTCCTGACATAACGTCACAATGAACAAACCACCTAAACCAAGGACGTGCATTTTGATTATTATCTCCTACAGTCTACAGGCTCCTTACCCACAGAGGTAAAAACTATTTATTACTATTGAATAACTAAATCAGCTATTGTGAAAAAAAAAAGAAATCAGCTATTGTGTTTCCATTCTGTAAAGTAAAATGAACATTTTATATAGAATGGGACAGCATAGACCTAACCTTTTTTTAGTGGGTTGAAATCATGAGGTACTAGATTAATCATAAACCTTGGTTCCCACCACTTTCTCATTATTGACACAAGAATGACTCTAGTTTTTGTATATTGACTTATTCGCTGCTTAATTTTTCATTAATGTAGTAAACACTGTTAAATGCAGCACCCAGAACAAGAGTGATAAATGTCACCAGTCTACTATCCATCTACATACTCCCTAAGCACAGAGTTCACAGCCCATTCAACTTTTTTAAGGCCCATATTCGTGCATTGCTTAGGCCGTGCCATGAAGCATTAGTCGAAGATGTACCCTAATGTATGCACTTATTGACTCACTCATGTTTTTCTCATTTAAGTACCTAAAAACTAATTTGATCATTTATTCATTTTTTTAAGAAAAAGAGTAAAATCCACCAGTAATCAAGAACTAAAATATCATTTCATATCACTGTGATGTGCACTTTAAAGTTAGATAAGTCTAGATTTCTTTTTCTCCATCTAAAAGGATGTAATCATCTTTGTTTCATGACACCTACTCCTCAAGGACCCATGCTCTGCCTTCTTTTAAATAACTGACCGAAATATAAACTCATTTGTTCATTCATTCATGTTAACAATACGCTCAAAATGAATGCAGGCCAAGCCACTGGACGAGAACACTGACTAACTCCAGTATCTGCCCTTGTGCCCACTGCCCACAGATACAGCCTGCTGGGTCCTTTTTTGTTTTTTTCAAATAATAGTGAACAAAACTGGTATGATCATATCTGGCACCATATTTTCAATGTTAGTCCATGCTTGGCCTTCATTCAGTTGGGCACTTATTTAAACAATTATTTCTAATGTAAGTGATTTGTTCCTTTGCTAAATAAAACCAACAACCAGCTACCCACCACCAATGCAAAACACCAACATGGACTCTCATAGTATGAAAACAGTAAGAGAGACTTCATCTATTTGAGTCATGAAACTCAGCGCTTCAGGAAATAATAAAATTAATAATATTCCTTGGGCCGACCGGGTGGGGCAGTTGGTTAAGAGCGTGCGCTCTGTGCAACAGTGTCGCTGGTTCGATTCCCACATGGGCCAGTGAGCTGCACCCAAGCTGAGTTGCCAACAGGCAGCCGATGGCTCAGCTGGTGAGAGCGCGTGCTCTTAACAACAAGGCTGCCAGTTCGACTCCCGCATGGGATGGTGGGCTGCGTCCCCCAGCAACTAGATTGAAAGTAGCGACTGGACTTGGAGCTGAGCTTGCGCCCTCCACAACTAAGATCAACTAAGATTGAAGGACAACAACTCGACTTGGAGCTGATGGGTCCTGGAAAAACACAATGTTCCCCTTCCCCAATACCCCAATAAAATCATTAAAATAATAATAATAATGATCCTTGTTTCATTGCAGACTCACATAACTGGTCATTAGTCACTGACACATTTCTATTTATTCTTTCATGGCTTTCTCTTATTTCCCAGACATGAAGAACTTCAAGCTCAGGAGAGCCTGATCTCTGACTACTCCTAACTTTTGATGTAAGCCCCTCCCCCTCAAAGGAAATAACTAGATTTCTTTTTTCTAATACACCTCAAAGTTACAGAGTTTAATAAAAATCTTTGATACATATATCTCAGAGTACTCATCACTGTTCTATATTGAACACCTTTTTATTCCTTTATTTATGTATTGCTTATTCCTTTATCCATTGATTAATTAATAATAATACCATCAAATCTCATGAATCATAAAGCTCAACAATATCCTTGAATATCACTAGTAACTGTCCAAATGCCCATTTCCCACAGTGCTGACAGACAAGGACACCAACTATTTTGTCCATCTTCCTGTGTATTCCTCCCTCCAGGAATTAGCTTAAATCTGTATCAGTGGAGAAGCACTTAAATGAACAGCAATGCAAAAACAAAATATGATGTGAAGCAGCCCTGAAAATGAATGAAACACCCTCCATCTTTTTTATTGGATTGGAGTACTACCGAATCAGCTCAATCATAAATCCCAACTCTGTCCTGTGCTGGCGTTACTTGGTTTTATTTATTAATATACCCATTTACTACTTTGAAAAATTCAAGCAACACCCAGAAACCAACCTCCTAGCCCCAGAACATAAATTCTAACTGTTACTTACATCCATCTCTTCTCTCCTTACCCACAGAGTTTGTAAAAGCCAAGATCTTTAGCATTAGAGGATGATTAAATCATCTGCGATGTGTTCACTTGGTAAAAGTGTAGGCTTTCAAAGGAAAGAAAGAACCTATAGTTAGATATTTTTTAATGAAAGTTAGTTTTCCAGCCTTAAATTAATTCCAAACTTGGGTCATTTCACAATCTCATCACTGCCCAAGAATGGCACACCTTATTCATTGATTTATTTAGTTTTTATCTTTAAATAATACAACGAACACCAACATGAGAACAAGAATCATTACCTACCACATATATCTACCCACATGCACCCTATTAATAAATGTAAGAGCTCATCGATTGCTTTTAGTGGACCTCACTTGTGCAAAATTGAATAAATGAAAACCTTTTTTCATGGCATATTGTCACCAATCATGCACAAATTTTTCTGATTTAGATATTGAGTGATTCATTGTTTATTCATGCACATAATTAGGCATGAAGCAAATTAATTATCTACCCAATTTTCTAAAGAATTTTTCCATGAAAATTTCTATGTGTGCTTTAGCCAAAGCCAGAGGGGTCCTAGAGTTCCTTTTCTTTATCTGGACACCATTCGGGTATAAACAGAGGAATCACCATCTTTGGTTCTCAGCACATGTTGCTCATTTGCTCTTGCATGGCATTCTTTTGAATAATTCATCTGTATATAAGCACACTCCTTCATGTCCTTATAACAGTATGTCAATATCAATGAAACCCAAGACACTGCACAAGAGCAATGAATAGCCTGTCTACAAGGTCATGGCCACGAACATAATGATTAAATCCTCTTTTGATTTTTTTTTAAGTAAAACTCATTGAATGGAGTTAGATTAATTATAACTCTGGTCATATGACACATTCTCAATATTGGTTCATGTTTGGCCCTCTCTCGATAAGACAATTATTTAAGCAATTGTTTATGTATGTAAACTTTTCTGTCCTTTACTAATTAAAACAACCCACTAAACAACCAAAGCAGCCACATCGACTCTTAGGTATATGTGGCCATACTGTCCTTATGGAAAGGTTCAGAGCTTTGATCTGTTTATCTATGAAGCCCAGTGTTTCAAATATGCACTCATAATAATTGTTGTTTTATGACATAATTCCATAATCGGTTCATGTGCGGCCCTCCTAATCTTCATTCATTTACACATTTCTTTATCCATTCCTGAGTTCACTTCCCAAAGAGTTCACCTTATCTCTCTTTTTGCAATAGTCCACAAATTTCTAGACAGGGATTAATCACAATTTTGGATTCAGACCCAACCCCCACTCCAGGAGTCATCATTGGCTCAAGCTTCGTGCTTCTTTTCTTCAGTTCTTTATCATTTTGTTTATTGATTCATTCACTGATCAAATAATATAATCAATGCATATAAATCACAAAATCTCAAAAATAAGAGCCTTGAATATTCCTAAGGTCTATCCATATGCTCATTTGCTGAGATCTTTTGAAGAGAGAATGTTGAAATCGACTGTCATGTAAATATGAAAGAGAATAGCAAACATCTCTAAAAAATGTATGAAACGTCTTCCACTTTTTTAAGGAGTCATCAGTTGTGCAGAATTGACTTAATCATCATTAATTAGATTAGACATAAAGCTTGCTTCATTTCATTAGCCTGAAAATGTTAAGTACTTTTTACTTACTCAATTATTTGATTTTAAACAATATAATGAGCACCACTGCCACCACCTAATCCACAAGTCAGAACTATGACTGTTATAAACATGTCTAAATACTTTACACAGGTAAAGCCTAGATTGTCCTTTTTAATGGATCTTTCTTGTGCTGACTGAATAAATTTAAAGCCTTGTTTCATGGCATATTCTTAACAATGGTCCATGTCTGACTCTACTTAATGTATTCATTCACTCATTCATTCATTCATCCACTCACCCATTTAATTACTCATGGAATAATTTCACCAGTTGTTCACTACGTAAGGAAAAGGCAAAATGGTAAAATGGTTAACAACCCAGAACCAAAATACATACTATTGTGAGCATCTATCTACATGCACATCATGAAAATGGGAAAACCTAGGTTTTAAAAAAATATGGATATCAGTTGTATAAAATAGAATAACCATTATCCTTATTTCGTTATAAGGCTCATCACTGGTGTGTGCTTTGCATCTTTTAAATAAAATATGAATCTATTCATTCACTTACAACAATATATAATTATGTCATTATTATAACTCATTAGACAAAAACTTTGAATGGTATTAACGTGATCATATGCACACAGTAAACCATCTTAAATTAATCACAACTCTTGTCATAGGACACATTCTCATCATTGGTCCATGATCATTCTTTTAATTAGATAATTATGTATTTAAGCAAACATTTTGCTCTCTTCCTAATAAAATAAGCAATCAGCCACCCACCATCAATCCTTAATAACAACATTCAATCTCGGGCATACCTGTCTATTTGCTGCCTGCTAAAAGGGGTAACACCTTGAAATACTGCTTTTCCTAGACCTCAGTATTTCAGACATGTTTCAAAACAAACTTTAATAATTGAACAATGTGTGCCTTTCCTGATCTTCATTCATTCCTTCATTTCTTTCCTTACTGATGAATTATTTCATTTATTATTTTAAAAAATCGATGACTAAGAACAGGATCCTGAATACGCCCTTCTGGGACCGTAAGTACAGTTATCACAGAAGAAATAACGAGATCTCTTCTTGTAATTACCTCAGAGCGATAGAGTTTACTCAAAATCCTTAGTTCAAACATCTCAGGGTGCTCATCATTGATCCCGGGTTGGCGTTTTTTGTCTTCCTCTTCCATAACGTCCTTTCTGGGTCATTTTTTACATGCATAAATTATAATACAATCAATATCCATGAATCACAAAAGCCAAGAACACAATTCTAAGGTAAGGCTATTTGCACTTGTCCCACAGAGTTAATAAACTTGAAGTCTTTTTTCAACGTCTTTCTGGGTTGTACATATGGATTGATCAAGAGCCTATTATCAGTATCGACGCCATATTTATAATAGGCTTTTGCTAGTCTCTTTAATTTGTCCATATTGTAAAGATGGTAGAATTCACAACTATGAAGCAGCACCTTCCCTCACAACTAAAACAATGTAACTTTCTTCCATCTTCCTATGTCCTCCACCCTTAACAAGTAAACAACCTCGATCTTTATCAAGGGAGGGATGTCTAAATATAATTTCGGAGCCAAACTAAAATGGACTGTTATGTGGGCCTAAAAATGATTAATCGCGAACTTGGGTTCGTAACATATCCCCTTCCTTGGTCAACGGTTGGTGTTTTTACAAAATTCATAAAATCATAAATCACCAACCGTTGACCAAGGAAGGGAATGAGTTATGAATTAAGGTCCGTGATACACACACACACACACACACACACACACACACACATACACATTTCCAGTTATTTAAAATAATTCCTCAGAAATCCACACAGAAACTCCCCAAACCGAGAACATGAACTTGACAGTTACTTACATTGGTGTCTGTACTCTTCGCTGACAGAGACAACAACTAAGGTTGTCGCCATGAGAGAATGAATGAGCTGGCTGTGCTGTGCTCATGCTGTAAAGGAAAAAGCCAATTCTAAACAGTGTGTACTGGGTGTTTTTACATGAACGTGGCTCCTGCACTGCCAGGTTGATCATAAAAACCTGGATCACAGCACACTCCCATTATTGGTGCAAAAACTGCACTACTTTTTGTCACCTTATTTTATTTTTAATTTTAAGCAATGTAGTTAAGTAAGCGTCATTGAAGCCCACGCCCAACTCAAGAATAAGGTTTGTAACTAGCACATATGCCCAGGACCATACACTCCCTACTCTTAGCTAATAGCCTACTAATCATTTTCATGAACTGGACTTGCGCAGAATTGGGAAGATTTAAAACCTACTAATATGGCACATTCTCACCAATAATCCTAGCTTTATCTTACATTGTGATTTTATAAATTCTTTCATTTATTTTTAATTATTAATTAAATAATGTGATTATTTACTCCTCTTTCTAAAAATATATATTTTATAAGTATATAAAACATATAAATATAAAACATAATATAAACTCTCCAACTGAAACCCAGAACTGAAATACAGTACTATTATTACATACCCTTGTCTCTATGTACTTAATCTCAGTAGGAAGAAACTAGGTCCCAAGGTCCCATTTTCTTCACATGGACATCAGTAAGTTATAGCTTGATTGATTAGTCCTCAACTTTATTTCACATTACATGCTCCATAGTGTCCACTGTTTGCCTTCTCTTAAGAAATCATTTGAGATACAATCATATTCATTTAATAACTTATAACACTATAATAATTACCCAAAGAATCTACAGACCCCAAACTGGAACACCAAAAACACCAACAACTGTCCACAGGCTCATTACCCACAGAAATAACTGACTATATCCCGTTTTATTTGTTTTGGTTTTTTAATTAATTCAGTGAACACAATTAGATTGATTCCAACTGGTACCATATAACACATTCTTAACACTGGCCCATGCTTGCTACTTTCCAATTAGATAGCTATGTAATCATTTGTTTATGTAAACCTTTTTTTTCCTTCTTCTTAATCAAACTATCAACCAGCCACCTCCCACCACCCGAAAATGGCAATATGGACACGTAGATGCATCTGTCTACGTGCCTGTGTGTCTAGAGCTCCTATGTGCTCCTAAGGCAGTGACACTTTTAGCTGTGGGTTACATTGGAACCCACTGTAAACAAATATATTACTAATAATACTTGTTTCATGACATTCTCATAAATGAGCCACACATGACCCTCTTCATCTTCACTCACTTAACACATTTATTTATTCACGCATTCATTCATTCACTTACATCAATATAATCCACACCCAGGAATCACTAAGACCCAAGAGCCAGATCCCCCAAGGGCTTGAACTTCTGCTCTGAACTCTATTCCCATAACTAACCTCTTTCTAACGGACCTCAGAGTTTAGGGTGTAATCAACATTCCTGATTCATATATCCCAGAATTACTCATTACTGATCCACGCTCAACCCTTTTCTTCATTTATTTATTTCTACATTTATTTGTACATTGTTTATTAATCGTTCATGCATTATTTATTGATTATTTCATTCATGGCTTTACTGGTAAAAGTGGATTCCCATGAATCACAAAAGCCCAAGAACAGTATCTTTGAATGTTGCAGAGAGCTGTTTGTTTCCCACAGAGCTAATAAATGGATCTCTTTTTCATTAGACCTCAGTGTTGCACACATGGATTGATCAATCACCCTGTTTCATGCCCATACCATGCGTTTTACCACCCTCTGCTTGCTCATCTTTCACTTAATTTCTTTATATTTTAGAAATAGTACAATGAACTTGTCGTCTTACCCCACAACTAGAACACTGACAGTACCTCCTATCTTCCTAGATAGCTTTCTCTCCACGATTTAACAACCTGGCTCGTTATCAATAGAGAAGATTTCTGAAAATGTTGTGCAAAAATAAAATGGAATATTAAGCAACTGTGTAAATGAATGAAAAGCATCCCAACTTTGTTTTTCATGTACCTCAGTTGTACTAAAATGGATTCATTTTTAATCAGTGGTTCGTTACACACACCCACCCCCAGTAGTGGTCCATGCATGGCATTCTTTCACTTGATTTATGTTTGCAGTAGCCACTCAGTCCTTTGAAACAATTCCATGGGCGACACAAATAACCCCCTCCACACCAAGAACATAAACTCTGTTAACTTACATGAGTCCCTTTGCTCCTTAAGAAACAGAAGTGACAGCCAATATCTTCATCACCAGATAACGAATCAACTAGATGGGTATATTGTTTCTATAAAGTAAAAGGCAAATTTTAGAAAATTGAAAAAGTAGTGTAGACTTTTTTAAAAGAACTTAGTCCTGTTGTACCTAATTTATCATAAATCCCTGTTGTCATCACATTCCATTAGCCCAAGAATAGCTCCTTTTTATTTATTTTCTTAAATGATTAACATATATAATATGGTGACAACTACCAAATCTACATCCTAGTAGAATTAAGAGCTGTGCCCTTTCCAAATTCTGTCGATTCAACCCTACCCACATAAGTAAGAGCTTAGATTATCTTTTCCATGAGTCCTCAATTAGAATTAAATTTACATCCTTATTTATTGACATACTCTCACCAATGATCCATGCCTAACACTACTTTATGAATGCATTCATTTATTTTATTTATTTACCCATAGAATAACTTATCCATATTTTCACTTTTGGAAACAAATGTCAAATGGTTTAAAATACTATTATAGGTAACTGTCTCTATGTTCTTTACCCTAAGTGGGCAGAGTCTCAGTCCCCTTATATTTACATGGATATCAGAAAAGTAGAATGTCATTGTTCTGTACACCTGAAACTAACAATAAAATTTTTTTTAAAAAGTAGAATGAGATTAATAAACCTTTTTAATGACATAGTATCCTCACTGTTTGCCCTCTGTTAAACAATCTCTTCCTTCATTCACTTGTAATAAAATCATCAATACTCATGAACCTACATACCTCAGGCAAGAGTCCTACACAACACTTAACATCTGCCCATAAACACAATACCCACAGAAAAACAACTACACGTGGTTTTCAAAAATGATACTGATTGAGAAGAACTGATTTAATCATAACTCCTCTCATATAATACATTCTTCACATTTGCCTATCCTTGGTCGCCTTTAATTAGGGAGTTCTGCAATTGATTATTTATTTTGTTTCCCTTTTCTTAATAAAATTAACAACCATCAACCCAGAAACACTGATGCTTACATACATCTGCCCATGTTTTGAATCAATACGGTAAAAGCCCTAGGCTCTGTGAAGAGTGATTATTGGAACTCAGCTCCTCAGAAATGATTTAATAATAATTTATATCTCATTACAGACTCTCATAATTGGTAAATATCGAGCCCTCTCTGTCTTCATTCACTGATATGTTTCTTTATTTATTCATGTACTGATTCACCAATAAAGGAACCCATACCTAAGGTCCACCAAAGCCAAGAGCAAGGTGCCAATATTCCTGCCTTCACCTACAAGCTCAGGCCTCATCAGGCGGGAAATTAAATTTGTTTTTATAATGCACCTCAGAGTTACAGGGTTTAACCAAAATCTTTGATCCAGACACCCCTGGGTATTTATCATTGATCTAGGCTTGGGATTTTTTTCATTATTCATTTATGCATTTGTTTATTGATTCCTTCATTGATTGACTAAAAATTACTTAATCATATCCATGAATCACAACAAAGCAAGAAATAAGATGTAAGAATATTATGAACTTCTGTCTTTTGCTAATTTCTGCTAGAACTAATACATTAGATCTTTCCCTAAGGTGGACCTCACCGTTATACATATGGACCCATCATTCCTTATGCAAACGCGCACTCATCGTGGCCAGGCTTGGCCATCTTTTCTAGTTTTTTTTCAATTTGGTCAAATTTCAAATATGTAGTAAAGAAAACCCAGGGATGTCTCTTTTTACTTCACTAACGATTTTCCATCTTTCTTCATGTTTTCTCTCTCAACAGATTAGAAACCGAAATCTTTATCACTGGGAGAATGTATAAATCAAAAATGGTGAAAAATAAAATGAAATATTGAACACCTGTAAAATGAATGAAGCACTCTATTTCATCATTTTTTTTAATGGACCTCACTCTTTCCAAGTTGGATTAATCCAAAATTTTGTTTCACGGCACATTTCACCAGTGCTCATTCTTGACCCTATTATGTTATTTATTTGCTTATTGTTTTTATGCATTTTAGTGGTTCTTAAAAAACATTTACATAATCTGTTTCAATATACATTTTAATATTTAGTGTATGCTTTTCCCCATTTTTCTCATTCATTTATCCACTTTTAATTGATCCATTAATTGGCTAATAATACTACAATCAATACCCATGGGTCATAAAAACATAAAGAAGGGCAGCCAGTTAGCTCAGTTGGTTAGAGCGCAGGCTCATAACACCAAGGTTGCCAGTTCAATCCCCGCATGGGCCACTGGGCTGCGCCCTCCACAACTAGATTGAAACAACTACTTGACTTGGAGCTGATGGGTCCTGGAAAAACACACTGTTCCCCAATTTAAAAAAATAAATGAATAAAGTAAAAGATCCTTGAATATGCATGCATTCATATCATTGCTTTATAGCAGTGCTGGCCAATAAAAACACAATGCAAGCCACCCATATATTTTAACTTTTCTAGAATCTACATTTTTAAACAGTAACAGGTAAAAGCAATAATAATTGTATATTTTATTTAAGCCACTATATCCAAAATACTATCATTTCAACATGTAATCAATATAAATAATTGATAAAATATTTTATTGACTCTTAAATTTGGTGTGTGTTTTCCACATAGATCACATCTCAATTCAGATTAGCCACATTCCAGGTGCTCAGCAGCCACCTGGGGCTAGTGGCCGCCATATTGAACAGCACACATCCACAGGCTAATTTCCCACAGAAACATACTAGATGTCTTTCTATAATGATCAATAACATATAAATCAACATTCTTGCTACACAGCAATGTCACACTCATCACTGGCCTGTTCTTAGCCCTCTCTCTTTTAATGTGTCTATATTTCAAAGATGACACAATGAGCTATTATGAACCCGCCATCTTCTTCCGCAATAGAACACTAACAATGTCTATCTTCCTCTGTGCTACCCTCTCAACCAGTTAATAGTCTAGATCTTTATCAATTGAGAAATGCTTAAATCAACAGTGGTATGAAATTATAATGCAATAATAAAATGCCAGTAACATAAATAAAATGGACTTAGTGTATTTTTAATGGAACTAAATTGTGTTGAATTAAATTCATCATGATCCTTAGTGCATATCACACTCTCATCATTGCTTCATGCATGTCCTCCTGGGATCGTATCAATGCATAAAGCCATTTGTTTCTTTTAAGTAATACAGTCAACAGCCGTGAGCAAACCACCCACGAAAGAACTCTGTCATTTAATCAGCCTCCATGTTCCTTACCCACAGAGGTAAGCCCTCCATCATTACAGAATGGTTTATTAGCTCTAGTGCATTCATTCTGTAAAATAGAAATCGGGTGTGAAAAAGAGTGAACGATATTAAATTTTTGAATGCATGCTAGTTGTGAAATACTGGATTGATCATAATCCTTGGCTTGTGCCACAGTCTCAACATTGGTCCATGTTTGAATCTACTGCTCAACACTGACCCACAAATAATACTCTCTTTTTTATTGACTTAATTAATAATTCTCAATTATTATTTCAGTGAACACAGTTGAATTGCTCACCTAAGTAAGAATAAGAATGATGACTATTACCAACGTCTTTATTCTCCCTCCTATACAGGTGACAGCCTCAGGTAGGGAGACGTCACGTCATTCGCCCCGCAGGGTTCCAGAGCTGCGATGGAATGGCCTGCTCTGGGCCTCCCCTTCTCTCCATTTGCAAGTGGGAATGGTTCCAGCTTAGTATGTTTACCACGTGGGGAGAGTCAGCCTGTCTCTAGTTTGGAAATTTCAATAAAGGTGAATAACATCCAAATTGGAAGTGAATCATGATGTTCTGGACGTTGAGCTGAAGCTCTAGTTTTATGGACTTCTGGGATGTTCTCAAGAAATGCTAGTATTTCACGTATGGGCATGAAGTAAATGTTTCTCACCAGTCGGGAGAGATGTGGCAGGTATGCTGTTTTTCAGCAAATATCCCCTTAGCCTTCCCGATCCTCCCTGGGAACACTAGCCTTCCCTCCGCCACTGCTGTTGGGCTTGACCACATGACTTGCACTACCCAACGGAGCATGAGTGGATGTGACTTCAACCATGTCCAAGCAGAGGCTTTAAATGTGCTCAGGCGTTTTTTCTAGGCCTCTGGAGCTTCAAGCCTTCACTAGAAGAAGAGTATGTCCCAGACATTACAGCTCCTTTGTCTAGGGACCGTGAATAGGAAGGCAAGTGGGGCAGAGGGGAACCCAACCCTCAGCCTGGAGCACAGCTGCTGCAAGAGACACACAGACCCATATGTGAGGAATAAGTGTTGCTGTTGTTGTCGTTGTTATTTTATGAGCTGCTGAAGTTGTGGGTTACTTGTTACGCAGCATCATCAAAGTAATGACTAACTCACACATTTCCTTATTTTTAGGAATTTATTCATGTATTGATTTTTTTATAATATAGTCAATGAAATCACCATGAATGTACCATCAAACCCAAGAAAAACTATAATTTATGTTCATATAAATAATATATGTACATGTTATATATATGGCTATAAATTATAGATACATGACAGGTAGGTAGATAGATAAGATAGATAGATACATAGATAGATACATAGATAGATACATAGATACATAGATCTTGGATGGTTTGGACAGTTTTTTGTAATTTTTACCCATAAATGGAGAAACAAAGACTTATATAATAGACTTCAGTTGTGCAGAAACATATTAATATAAATATTTGATTCAGGATACACTTTCATCATTGGCCCAAGCTTCGTCCACTTTATGTATATTTACAGCTGTCTGTATGTTCCTCAGCAACAAAAGTAAGAGACCTTTTATTTATGGACAATAGTTGTGGTGACTTGTATTCATCACAAACTTTGGTCCATGACACATTATCATCCTTGTGCAGTACCTGGACTCTATTATTTTTCATTTTTGAAGTAAATAAATATATAATATCCATAAAACCACTGTTCAACCCACCAAGTACAACTTTGACAGTGAGTTTTTGATCCTTTCCCACCAAGATACATAGACCTTCAACATCAGAGAGATGTTCACAAAAACTGTGGGGCATACATTCAACGTAAGAATAAATAGTTGATAAAATAAATGAATAAGCCTATGTCTGTTTTTCATGAACGAAAGACTTATTTTTGCCAGTGAATCTCAGTTGTGCAGAACTGGGTTCATTATCATCTTTTTTTTATGGTACACGCTCATCTCTGACCCATAGCTAACCTTCTTTTATTAATCTATGTATTTAATTACTCATATTTAATATTCAAGAAACTCCCATTAGCCAGCCACTCAAAGCAACTGATAGAGTAGCCATTAGCCACATATGACCGATTAAATTGTATTAATCAAAATTAAGTAAAATTTAAAATTGAGTCCCTCATGCATACTGGCCACATTTCAAGCGATCAAGAGTCACACGAGGCTACCATATTGGACAGAATAAATTGTCGAACATGTCCACCATTGCAGAAAGTTCTACTGGACAGTGCTAGCATTCTCTTTACTCCTAGGTGATAGTCTAGCACTTTTTCTAATTAAGCTGAATTGGATTAATCATAACTCTTGATCGTTTATCCACACTGATTCTCTTTTGTTTGATTTTATCACTTCTAAAGAAGTTTTAATGAGCAGCCGTAAAACCAATCTCTGGCTCGATAAGTAGAACTTGAACATTATCTTTCATGTCCCTTTGTGCTCCTTGCTCTAATAGCCTAGATCTTCATCCATGGAGAACTGTCTAAACAAACTATGTACATATATACAATGACATATGAAACAGCTGGTGAAAGCAATGAAACAGGCTACATTATTATTTTGGGAAGTCAAGGGCACAGACCTGAACTAACTATAATCCTTTAATCCTTGAGCCATTCTCATCACCATTCTGTTTGGACCTTTCTTGGATTTTCTACCTTCATGGGATTATTTATTTAGTTTCAGTGCTAAAATCAACAAACAAGAATATTCACTATTTACTCCTTAACTGACACAATTTTTAAATGGATCTTGGATGTACAGAATTAGAATCATCGTAATTCTGGGATAATAAGATACCACTATCATCAGTGACCCATCTTGTCCTCTCATTTTATTAGTTAATTTGTTAATTCATGCCCTTATTTATGAATACCCTCGAACAACTTTCCAGTTGTAGATTTAAGAAAATTGACTATTCCCTACGTTTTCTTTACACACCGTATCCATCCAAATAAGAGTCAAAACTCTCTTTAATATTGCATGATTAAGTGAGCTATCATGTGTCCATTTTGTGCAACAAAAAACTATTGTAAAAAATGAATATCCTGGATCATTTTTAATGGCTCTCACTTACATAGAACCGAATTAATCGTCTCAGTGTATGAAACGTTGTCCTCATCGGTCTACGCTTGGCCCTTTTTTATTCTATTTATCCCTTTAAAAAAAACATACAAGAATCCCTATGAATCTTACCCAACAAGTAGGAAAGCACCAGTACCCTACATCTCCGTGTGCATCTCTCACTGAGGTAACAGCCCAAACTTCGTCAGGAGGAAAGTGTCTCTATAAACCACAGTGTATGAATTAACAGTATAATTTTATCAAAATCAATGAAAGAGCATAGATATGTTTGTTTTAATGTCCCTCAAATTTGCAGAATTGTGTACTCATAAATCTTGGGTCATGATACATGGTCTTCATTAGTCCATGTCTGACCCTCTTTGATTTATGCAGGTACACATCCACTTATTTTTAATAAGTCAATAAACCACTCAACCCAAGAATAAGAAAAAGTAACAATTATATTTATATAAACAGATATATGCTACATTATGTATAATGTAGTTAAACACATACACATATGTACAATATAATTATAATGTATATAGTTGTTTCTTTTTATTTACTCATTTCCTATACAGAGAGCAGCCCAGTTATATTATTTTTTAATGGGTGACAGTTATGCCACATGAAATTTACCACCCTTGGTTCATGATACCATCTTGTCAGCATGGAGGGAGACACCCAAGTCTGTATGCTTGGCCACCCCTGATTTCATTTGTGCTCACTGATGTTTAATAATGCATCCATACCCCTCCACCAGCCACCCACCCATAAAGCAACACTAACCATCACTCACATTAGTTGGTTCACAGGTCATTTTCCACCGAGGTCACAGTCAAGGTCTTCATCATTAGACCCACTCTGGGGTCTCCATTCTGTGGAACACAAGGCAGATACTTAGACAACCTGGGTATTTTTTTAATGGCAGTCACATGAGCGGCTCAGGATTTATAATCACGATCTTTGGTTCATGACACAGTCTGACCACTGGCGCTCATTGTACTGATTTTTTCGTCGAATAATTTTATTATGACAATGAACATGCACAAATTCACAACTCTAAGCAAAGAATAACAACAATTATAAGTATCTATCTCAATGCTTCTTAATCACAAAGAACCAGCCCAGGTCTTAATTCCTCATAGACTCAGATATAAAGAGTTGGAGTAATAATAATCTTTGATTCCAGATATAATCTCATGATTGTTTCTTACTTGTCTTTTTTATTGTTTTTACTTATTTTTTTAAGTACAACAAACACACACAAGCTCAGCACTAACCCAGAACAAAAATATCAATTAGTACTTATATGAGTATTTATATACCAATGCTTCTTATCACAGAGGTTAGAGTTTTGTTTTGTTTTAAATAGTCCACAATTGCACATAAGTGGATTCATCTCAGTCCATAATTCATAAAACATGTTTGGTCCATTCTTGGCCCTCTTTCATTTTGTCATTTATTTTATTACTCATCTAATTCATTTTTAACTCTACAGTAAATACACCTGGAGCCACCTTTCAACCCAAGTCCAATGACTGTTCTAGATACCTGTTGATATGGTTCCAACCCTCAGTCGCATCAGCCTGGAACTGTTGGGTTTGGAGATGGGGGCGAACTCGATTACTCATAACCCTTGTTTAAAAACATTCTCTTTGCTTGTGTATGCTTGGACCTCGTCCATTGTATTTACGCGGGTACTCATTTGTGACTATTCAGTGAACATCCGTTGAAGGACTGCTTCTCTACCTGCCTGCAGTTTCCTTCCCCACAGCCAAGGTTTTCTCTGATGGAGAAACCCCAGTGTGCCTGTTCTGTGGAGCGCAAAGCCCCACCAACAGGAAGAAAACAGCCTCGGCCTTTTTTGTGTGCTAACGTCAGGTTAGCCGACCTGGATTAATCAGAACCTTTTGTCCAAAACACATTCTCACAATTGCTCTAGTCAAGGCCTTTATTACATTATTGCTTTACTTTTGATAATAAAATTAACCACCACAAAGCACTCCGATCTCTTTTACTATGTCCCTCGTTTGTGGAACATTAATCACAATCCTTGGCTGGGGACCCACTCGTCATCCTTCCTGGTGTGCCTCTCCCATTTTATCACTTGTGAAAAGCAGTCCAATAACCACACATGGCCCCCACCTCCCTTTCTCCCCCTTCCCCCCTTGCTGCTCGCTACCTTAAATAATCACTCCGAAATCTCCTGTGTACCCTCTCCTTCCCTTTATACATATATATGTATATATATATATGTATATATATATATATATATATATATATATATATAACTTGATCACACATAAGTATTCTTGAAAAATTTTTTCATGGGCCAAGTAGCTTGCTGGGCCTCTGCAGAGCCCCTGTCAAGGGGGAGAATTAAACACATATGATTGAATTAAGAGCACACCAGGGAGTGGTTAAAGGACTCGAACCCAGATCCCTGGACTCGACATGCCATCTTTCCCTGCGCGCGCAGGCACGAGGCGGTGTTGTATACGATGGTTAGGTCCCAGATGCTCACACCACACCGTCTAGCTCCAAACGCTGACTAGCATCAGGAAAGCTAACTAAGCTCTGAGTGCCTGTGTCCCCATCTGTACAATAGTCACAGCACTGGCCCCTAAGCAGAATTAGCTGAGATTTTTTTTTATGCCAGAGTCAGCCAGGTAAACCCCCTCCCCACCCCGTCTCTGCACCCCTCACCCAAACCTTTGTTCCCTCTGCAGCAGCGCCCGAGCTGTGGTGCTAGACAGACAGACAGACCAGGTTCCACCCCAGCAGGCACTCACGAGCTGTGTAACTGCAGAGACGTGACCTGGCCTCTCTGTCTTGTGCCCCGACTTGTGCGATTTGTAGACTGAGGACTCCAACAGCCTCGTGGATCCAAGGTGAGGGTGAGTTGCACTACGGACAGTTCCTCAGGCAGCTCCCACCCTGCACATCCCTGCCCACCCCCCGCCCACGCCACCCACCCCACTGCTCAAACAGCCCCCAATCTGACTAGAGGGAAAATCATCTCGATGCTCAGGCCAAGCCGAGCGGCTCGGAAAGGATGGGCCTCAGGCGGGAGATTGCTGGGATCTGGTCTGTTTTGGACATGGCATCAAAGCTTAAACCGAGGTCCTGAAAAGCAGAAATCCGGAGGGATTCATTCCATGAAATGGGGCTCCCCCCACCCCGGGGTGTCTATGTCATGAGGTTCTTGATGTTCCGATTGCTTCCCAGAAACCAAAGAGGCCACCACCATGTATGTGACCTTCCTGACAAGACACAGCCAGCTTCCTGCCCGCCCTCCCAGGCTGGCCCGGGAGCTGCCCAGCACCCTGGCCTCAGAACAACTCCAAGACATATATAATATAAAGCGTACATGTATTATATATGTGCGCATACTGTAATCTATTCATAAATATGTCCACTTGGGGACTTTGATAAGGCCACTGGGCTGGAAAGCAGGCCCAGGCACCCGTCTCTGCTTTCATCACAACGCGGGGGCCCATCCCCTTTCTGAGCCTCAGGTGGCAAGAACCCACCAGGCTCCCAGGTGGTATGAAAATGAAAACATCAAGTTTAAGAGCAAGTGCCCTGTAAGCAGCGAGGGTCATTAATGCTGTGTACCTCCTGGACCGAGCGCGCAGCGTCCCCAGCGTGCCTTGGCATACATTAGCTTGTTGGATCCTCACAACAGCAGTCCTGCGAATTACACATAATAATCATAATAAGCCAATATTTATTGAATGCATACTCTCCGCCAGGCACCATGCTGCCTGCTGTGCAAACGTGACAGTCCTCTGGGGTGGGTGCAATTCAACAGCAGCTCTTGCTTGTTTCCCCCCCCCCAAAAAAAAGTTTTGAGCGTGCATTTTGTGTCAGCCATTGGTCTAAGCGCCAAGGATATGGCAATGAACAAAACAGACCCCCTCGGACAGCTAACATCCTTGTGGGTGGATACAGAAATAGACAACATTCCAACTAAGTAAGTGCGATGTGTGGGATATGAGATGGCGATAAGAACTACGAGTTGATTCCTGAAAAACAGGTTTTTACTGTGTAAATCCACTTGTATGTGGATTTTTTTTTCAAGAAATACTGTATTTTCTTAATAACATTTCCTTTTCTCTAGTTTACTTTATTCTAAGAATACAGTATGTAATACACATAACATATAAAACAGGTGCTAACTGACTATGTTATCAGTATGGTTCTGGTAAACAGTAGGCTATTAGTAGTTAAGTTTTCGGGGACTCAATAGTTATATGCAGATTTTCGACTAAGCAGGAGGTTGGTGCCCCTCACCCCTGTGTTGTCCAAGGGCCAACTATATGGAGAAAAATTAAACAGGAGAGGGGTCAATGGGAACAGCAGGAAGAAGAAATCTCACTGAAGAGGTAATATTTGAACAAAGACATTATTAGCCCCATTTTACACATGAGAAAATGGAGCCTCAGAGAAGTTAAGTGACTTACAAGTGGTCACACAGCTAGAAAGACGCTGAGCTACGAGGCACACTGGGAAGTCTGGCTCCAGACTGTCTTTTACTCACTTAGCCCCAGTGCCTCATCTCTGTAGTGCTGGCTCTGACACCCCCATCAGCCCATAAGGTGACTGTGTGAACACGTGGGTGAGCTAGTAAGAGGGCTTGTCTGACCTCCTACACTGGCAGCCCCAGGAGCACAGGGGTCCCCAGAATGCACCAATATTCCTGGGTGAATAAATCAACTTCCTTGAAGGCCTTTGGTGACAGTTCCCACAGGACTTACACAGGTTTCTGGGGTCAGCTCTGCTGGGAGCTGAGCAAACAACCAGCAGAGCCCAGCAAGGCAACACAGATGCTGACCCCATCTCCAGCCCCTTGCATGCAAGGGTGTCCAAATGTGCTCACCCCACCAGAACCACTTCCACACACAGTCGATGCCATCTCAGCTTAAGCTACACATGTTCTGCCCAGGGACGGGAGGTCACCCAGTCCTCCTGCCTCAAGTTGGTGTGAGACTCAGAATTGGTCCAACCAGCCACCCTCCAAACGGCAAGCAAAAAACACTTCTAAAGTGTTTATTTTCTTCCCTCTACACCCCCCCACCCCCCCCAAAAAAAAAACAGGTAGAGAAAGAAGTTTGGTGGTCACTTGGGAAAGTTGCCCACTGCTGCTAGAAGCTACAAAGTTAAACCCAGACACCTGAATTGTTCATCTCGCCCCTCACCTGCTCAGTGCTTCTCAGCTCCTGTCCGCCCTCTCGGTACTTCTCAGCACCCCCACGGAGGTGCCTTCAGGGGAGCTCCACCTAGTCATATACAACTCTCGTTTCTGTGGCTAGAATAAAACTTTCTAGTCTTAAATGTGTGTTTGCATTACTATTTCACTGCCTCCCTCTCCAAATGCAAACACATAAACCTCCCTGGGTGCCTGTTCAGCTAACTGTAAAACGTGAGAAATGATTCTCACCAGCCAGAGACATTAAATGCCATCTCAATGAGAACAGCTGTAACAATTATAATTTTAATTATAATGAAATATTTGGGCACTCACCACGTGAAAAACGTTGTTTTAAGCACTGTAAATGTTTGACTCATTTAGTCGTCCAATACCCATTAATCAGGTACTATTGGCAGCTCCATACTACAACTGAGGCAACTGAGGCACAGAGGTTAAATACTTGGTCTGACCTCACAAAACCGGTAAAACGGCAGCCCTGAGACCGAAACCTGGGATGTGGGTAACAGGGCTTAACCCCTCAGCAGATTATTCAAAACCTACCTACTAGATTGAGGCCAGGTCTCGGGGAGGCTGATTTGCCCTCCAGGCCTCTGTCTGAGTCCCTCTCCCCTTACCTGGCACCTCTTCAGGGTCTACAGTCATTTTTCCATCTACTTCCTTTAGCATTCAGTCATTACATGAGCTCCCAGACTTTTCATTAGACTCGATTAAGTGTACTACAGGATGTCCGCGATATGTCTGACCCCTGCACGTGTGATCATTACAGGTAGCATGAGCTACAGGTGTTGCTTGAGAAATAAATTTAGAGTCCAGGAAATAAGAAATCCAGCTCTGTGATGGACCAGGATGGCGAGTCCAACATGGGTGAACCTCAAGGAGCGCCTCTTTGTTTCAGGCACAATCATTAAAGAAAAGGAAATGGGGAGAGTGTGTGGGTTTGGAAGAAAAGCCAACTAGGGTTCAAATCCTGGTTCTATATTTGTTCCCTTTGTGATTTGGGGCAAGTCACTCACCATTCCTAAACCTTTATTTCCTTTTATCTTACTGGAGGATGATAACTGCTGGCATGGAGAGCGGCTGTGATGACTTAGAGGAGATACAGTTATGCAGAGCGACTGGCAATGGCCTGTTAGGTTCAGGGCTTACTTATCCATCCAGGAGCACCAGTGGAAAGGGGCTGCCTGCTGTGTCCCTCTGCGCTGTGAAAGCAGCTGAGACTGCGAGCTGACGCTGAGCAGCTCCTGCACCACAGCTGGGACCTGGTCCCTGTGAGCTGGCAGCCCACCTGTTGTCCCAGAGCCAGTCAGTACAGTCAGAGGCAGAACAGAAGGCAGGAGCCGCACCAGCCAGCTGCACTCAGAGAGAACCTCTATGCATTGAACAAGTAATCCTTCAAGCTTGGTAAGAAATCAACTATGCTCTCTCATCCATCCATACATCCATCCATCCATCCATCCACCCATCCACCCTCTGCACTTTAACTCACTCCCCCATCTTCCCAGCATCCATCAGCCAGCCAGCCAGCCATCTCCATGCGCTGACGCCCCTTGACCAGGTGCACCTCCATCCACTGACCTGACACCCCTCCTTCCCCCGCTCCCATGATGCACAGAAACCTGACGAACCTGGCTTGGATTCCTGGCTCCTGCTTCCTAGCCCATCTTGGACAAGTCACTACGTCTCAACGTCCTTTCATCTGTAAAATTAAGGGAAGGGAGATTTACTGGATGAGGATTTAGAGAGAGAAAGTGGACATACCAGTGCCTGGCCTGAGCAAACGACCATTCAAGGTCCATGCCCTCTGCTTCTGCCACTGGGCTAGGATTGACGGGGGGCGAGAACCCCTGCATCCCGCATGACAGACTGAGAAGTACTTTTTAGAAACTCCCTGCCATGTGTGGGTGGTGTGTATCCCCCGGAAGACACCCCGGGGCTGGGCGGTGGCCAGAGCAGTTAGGGGTAGTGGCCCCTCCTGGACCCACAGCAGAGGGTGCCATCTAGTAGACCGAAAACAGGTGGGGTCCCCTGTGGGTCCCGGGTTGCGGCAACTGCTGTCTGCTGTGGGACAGCTGAGTTGTGAGCAAACTGGGAGGTCCCAGCCCCCAGACTGCCCTGGTTGGCATGTGGTGCCTGTACCATCCTAATCACCCGGGGGGTGGGGGATGGGATGGGGGTGCTGGGCTACCTGGAGCCTTTTGTTCTGTGCCCGACAGGCAGCTCGGTGTACCTGCCCTACCCAGCTCCCCTCTAGGTTTCCAGGGAAAACTAACTCCAGCCGGCTCCTGCTTGCTGAGTGTGTCATGTGTTGGATACGGGGATGGGAGCTTCCCGTGCGCCGTCGCCAATCCTCTAAGTGACCCTGGGAAGGCCCAGGATTGGCCCCATTTTCAGCAAGAAAACTGAAGTTCAGTGAGGTTGGGTTACTCACTTAAGGTGAGGGTAGGTTTTCAAACCCCTGGATTTGGAGCTACACTTCCCTTGCCGAACCCCAGGACCCCTGAGAGCGTAGGAAAGAGTCCAGACAAGCGAACTGTAAGAGAAATGGAGGACTCAGTCGGGGATATTTGAAAGCTGAATACATGTTGGATGACATTAAGGAAATGCTGTTAATTTTTTAACGGTGATAATGGCATTGTGGTTGTGTTTTGAAAACAGAAAGGAGTTCTTTTTTAGAGATGCATACTGAAAAAATGCTCAGAGGAAGCGATGTGGTGTCTGGAATTTGCTTCAAAATAGTCCTGGGGGTGGGGGGAGGGGGAAGGGTAGGAGGCGGTTCAGGTGAAGGAGAAGGCCTGAGAGTTGGTGTGGACCACACCTGGGTGACGGCAATAGGAAACCTGTGTAACTGGGGATGAAAATGCACAGTATTGCTCTACTTTTGTGCTGCTCGAAATATCTCATAATTAAAGGGTTTTAAGTCAAGTAAAAATAAAGATGAGGCAGTGGGAGGGGGGGAAGCCATTTAAAAGAGTCAAGGGGCCCAAGGGTCTGAGCTAAACCTTGGGGAGCTGATTCATAGGGAACAAATGCCTCCAAGTGCAGAGGGGCCCAGAAAGAGGCCGGGGCCTGTCGGAGCAAACAATTCTACGCTGGGTGGGCTGAGGAGACAGGGAAAGGGTGGTTCAGAACAAGACACCCACCGGCTGCCCCCAGGCCCTCCTTCCTACCCCAGACCCTCCCCGGCCCCCTCCAGACCCTCGAATCCCTTCCCTGGCCCTTCTGTCCAGCCACAGGCCGTCTTTCTCCCTCCCGGGTCCTCCTGCCTCCCAGACTCCCTCAGAGCCCCATGCTCCCCCAGGCCTTCCAGCTGCCCCCTGAAGGCCCTCCTGCACCTTCCTGGACCCTGCAACCTTCTCACTGGCTCTAAAAGGGCCGAGAGCACCTCCCTTATCCAAGGCAGAGCTGGCCACCTGAGGAGTCCTTCCCTGGGGCCAGCTCAGCCAGGGCGGGAAGGATTCAGCTGTGTAGCTTTCAAATGCTTTTTTTTTTGGGGGGGGGGGTTTCCACAATAGTTGGTGCTCCTGCCCTAAAATGGTCTACACCAAGGTACACTCGTGGTCCTCGGCCCCCCTATGTCTTATAAGTCGTGTTGCCGCTCACTGACGCACACTGGACCCCAGGTTCACAGCAGTCTCTACAGACCCTGGACCACCACACCCCTCCACCTCTCTCCCTTTCTGGCCCTTTGGCAGCTGCCAGGCTCTGCGCCCTCAGTTTCCTGGGTGCCTCGCCACGCTACAGCCCGCCTGGAAATGCCCCACCTCCCTTCATTCCCCACTTTGGGAAGCCGGCCACCACCAGACAGCTCCCCGGACCCTCCCGGCAGCCGGCTGCATTGCAGCTCAGCCCTCTGTGAGGGAGGGGCTCAGCCTGCAGCCACCCTGCTCCCGGCAGCCCCAGCCCAGGGCAGGCTGGCCCCCTCACGCATCTGACGCAGTTAAAAGCGCCACTGCAAAAGTAAAAACGCCGGTCCCTGCTGGCTGTCTCCCCCTCCTCACTTTCTGGGCTCAAAATGTGGCCCAGGCAGCCCCCTTGTGGCATTTGGGGGTGCCACAGACTCTTGGCTGGCGTCTGGAGAGTTCAGACCGTCTGCTTCCATTGCACCGTGAGTTGGCACAAATCTTACGTGGCCCAAGCCTCCCCGATGCAGACCTCGGCTCACAGCCCTCCCTTTCCCGCCCCCCCACATCTCCCCCTCCTCCCGCCACATTGCAACTCTCCTGTTGTATATTGCTCTGACACGCAGACAGGTGTCTGGCCACTGCAGCAATGGCGGAGGGCGGGAGAGAAGGTTGTGGGAACAGGGGCTTTTCTTGCAATGATGTTTGGTTTCCATCTCCACCTCATAAATAGGGAAACTGAGGTGTAGAGGCTCAGAGTCCCCCGTCGGTGTCAGTAAAAGGGCTGGGGACCCTCCCCCCAAGAGCGGGCTCTAGCGTGGGGCATTTCCCTGTGGTGAGGGGGCTGCCTGCAGACTGTCCCCTCTTGCCTCTCTCAGCCATGGAGCCCTCATCCCCTCCAAAGCCAGTCCTCCCCAAGAGGCAGCTCTAAGCCCCCCCCACCCCCCCACCATGTGTTCCCTCCTCTCTAACTCACTGTCCATACAAACAAGACCCAACCCCTCCATCTGCAATCTGCTTGGAGGTGGGCAGGGCCCTCTCCACATCAGGTTAATAATGCCATTTTCATAAGCCTCTGCCCATAGGTGCTACCACCTAATTTTGAATCTGCCCTTCAAACGGATTGGGCCACAGAGGAGCTGGGAGCTCAAGCACCGCTGGGAGGTGCTTGTAACTAATCAATCCATCCCCTGCCCACCCACGCCCCCCCAGCACTCAGCACAGCCTCGCTGAGCAGTCTTCAGAGCAGGGTGTGTTGGGGAGCCTTGGACAGCCCGGAGTTCCCTCTTGGCTCGGCCTCACACCAGCTGAGAGACGGTGAGTGTGGGACTTCATCTCCCTGCCTCAGTTTCTTCATCCATCAAATGGGGATTCTGAGGCTGGTGCTCAGAGTTTCTGCCAGGGTGAGTCCTAGGCAGACAGCCCAGCTCAGGGCTTGGCCCCTACATAGGACTCCATAAATCTCAGCTGCCATCAGCCCCCCTTGATCCCTTGATTTACAGTGACTCACTCCCTGCCTCTCTCCCCCCACCAGACTGAGCTTCGAGGACAGGAAGCCGACCAGCGCTGCTTCGTGTCCAGCCTCCCACTCGGGTCTGGGCCTGGGAAGGTAGGTGCGCTGCGGTGGCTTGGAGAATGGATGCATGGATGGGTGGCTGCGTCCCAACGTCTGTGGGATGCGTGGACCCCGCTAGGCTTCCCTTCCCCAGATGGCCCCTCTCTAACCCTGGCCCCTCTAGGAAGCAACAAGGAAAGATGTTTCTTGCTGCTTCTCCCTGAGGTCCCTCGTGCTGCTCTATACAATGCAAATTCTTGCTTTATTAAACACAGATGTGGGCTTGCATGTCATTTCTACCGGGTACTGCATCTACTCTGAGCTCACAGGCCAAGGGCTGCCTCTGGCTGACTTGATTGGTGCGGTAGGGCCGGCAGAGGGGTCTCTGCGAGGCAAGGTTCCCGTTTGTATTCAGAGCAGGGTCTCGAAAAGGCCAGACCGGTCTCTTTCTTGCGACACTTGTTACATGCGCGCCTCCCTCCCCGGGTCCCGGCGTCTACTCCACAAGCATTTATGAAGTGTCTGATGTGTGCTAGGCTACTCTTATCTCCTTTCGTCTCACTTCAAATCAAGCCGGTGAGGGAGCCCTCTCATCTCCATTTCAGAGGAAAAACCGAGACTCAGGAAAGTACAGGGAATCGCCACGGTCTCGCAGCTACAAAGCGGGAGTCCAGCCCCATCCGCCTGGCTCAGGGGCCCCCAGCCCCGCGGCGGCCACCGGCTGATGCCGCCGTTGTCACCACCGCTGCTGTGGGCTGACCAGGGCTGCCGGGGCTCCTGTGGAAAAGGCAGGGGCTTTGCATAGAGTGTGTTCTCCCTGGCAACTGGCAAAGGGGCCATAAAAAACTGAGAGGGCTCCGAAGCGGCTTAACAGAGAGATCAGAGCAGCTGGACCAGGGAGGGCAGACCCGCGCCCTCCCCTGGGCTCTCTGCAGAACAGCAGGGCAAGGGGCTCCGTCCCAGCTCCCAACCTGCGGGGTAGAGGCGCCCGGGACAGGTGTAGACGGCCGCCATCGAGACGGGGACAGGGACCCCAGGGCTGACCCCACAGTGACGGGGGGGGGGGCTCGCTGTTCCACAGGGGAAGGGAAGACTGAGAGGGAGCTGGCTGCCTGCAAAGAGCTGAGGGCAGAGGGGGCGAGGGGCTGCGCGAGCCGCGGAGGCAGATGCAGAAAGCAGGGGAGGGCTCGGCAAAGCAGCTCGGTGTGTGAGCCCCGAGCGGGCTGCTCCAGGAGAGAGGGAGCTCCCTGTTACGGGAGGCATCCGAGCAGAGAGAGGCAGGCCGGTACTTGGCCGGGAGGCTGCACGCGGCTCCCTGCCCGGGCTGGCAGCCCGCACGTCTAGGCCTCTGAGCAGCTCCTCTGGAGCTAAGTCCCGAGCGAGCGAGAGGGGCTGGCTGCGGAGCAGGCAGGCTGGGGTCAGAGCGAGGATGCACACTCTCCCATGTACCTTGCCCTGAGCTGAAAGGCAGAGGCACCGAGATGGCTGGTGGAGCGCTTCTGTCACAGTGAGGCAGTGAGGGAGAGGAGCGGAGAATGGGGGTGAGTGCTCGGGGCCAGCGGTGGGAGGTGGGGGGCTGTCCTGCAGCCAACTCCCCATCTCAAGGGCCCAGCCACCTGGAGTGGCCAAGTGCCCGCCCCGGCTCCCAGGCCCAGAAAGGCTGGCCTGGGTCCTCTCCGGGGCAACAGGCTGGCATAGAGGGTGGGGGGCAGCCTTCCTGGGGTGGGAGTGGGGGATGAGTAGAAGGAGGGGCATCTGGTGAGTTGAGGGGCCGCCCGGTCATGGGAACAGCAGGGCCCTTTCCTGCAGGCTGGGCCACAGCCACTGAGTCCGCCGGCTGCTGGACCGTGACTTGGATGCTCTGGGGACCCATGAAAGCCCCTCGTCTGGGGACGGGCCGAGGGGCCTGCATGGTGATGAATGCGGCCCAGGCTGGAGTCGGGCGCTGGCTCTCCAGGCCCATTCATGGGGACTCAGTTCCCAGGAACTCCGGGTGGATGGGGCCTTTATCAGGGCACCCCCGCCAGACTAGGCTCTGTTCTGCAGTTTGTAAAGGAGTTTTCTTGTCTTTGTTTCCCGTGCAGCCAGCGTGTGTGTGTGTGTGTGTGTGTGTGTGTGTGTGTGTGTGTGTGTGTGTGTAACAGGCTGGCTAAGGGGCCAGTCCAGGTTCCTTGTCTGAAATGACCAGGCTGCCCTGGGTCACCCTCAGGGGCAGAGATGTACCTCCACAGGGTAGAAAGATTCAGGGAAGGTGGAGGCACCAGAGACCCAGGGACAGAGCCCCTGGTCACCGCTGCCTAATTGTCGGGCTCCTGAGAGCCCGATCTGCCAGGGCACTGTCAGCCTTGGGGTCCCGACAGCTGCTCCAACCCACCGTGGGGGGGCAGCATCGAGTTGCAGGTGGAGAGGCAGGCTGGCTCCCTGCAGACAGACAGACAGACTGGCGGCCGCCCCGCTTAGGTGCTGCTAGCGAGCCCGTTTGCTTTCTCTGAGTCTCGGTTTTTTGTTGTTTTCCGTCGTGGCTGTTGTTTTAATCTATTAAAGGACTGTCAATTTGAAAATGTTTGATAAAGTGGTATTTACATGTGTGTTACAGTCTCTACAGCATTACTCGGGGGGAAGGGGGGAGAAGAAGTCACGCACATAGAAATTGTACAGATAAAGGTTTCTGGTTGGGGTAGCTGGTGGCGCAGAAGAGAACTGAGAGTATCTTTGGTGTGGATTTGAAAAGTCGCCCATATGCCTAACCAGCCAGAGGCCAGGGGGCAACAAACCCGTTAGCCCCTGGCGGGCAGGCTGGCTGGGGAAGGGGCTCCTGTACCCCTCCCACTAATAGTTCCTCCTGCTCCAGGCACAGACAGAGCCCAGCTCCCTCGTCCGTGCGTGAGGAAGTTAGGAACGGAGTCTCGGCAAGAAGCACGGGGCAATTCGGACAGCAGAGGCTCCAGCCGCCAGAGAACAGCCCGGGTGTGAGACGTGTGGGTCTGACCAAGCCCACGGCCCAGAGTCAATAAACCCGAAACTTAGGAGAGAGGAGTCTTTGTGCCCGGTGGCCGAGGAAGTCCACTTTTGTGTAAAAAGGCATCATGCAAGTCAGACTTGCACTCGGTACGGCTGCACTGAGGCACAAAGGCTCCTTCAGGCTGGGCTGGGCCCAGGAGCATTTTCTGTGAAATGGAGAAGTCAAGTTCAGCCACAAGTTCTTCCAGGAATTAGGAACCTCTGGAGGCTGTAACCACTGTTCCTTCCGAGCCACCCCTGCCAAACTCTATAAAATACGAGCCTAAAAAATCTGTCTGAAGAGCAGTCTGACCTTTTATATATATTTATAAAAAAAAAAAATTAAAAACTATCGCCAAGCTTTTCAGAAGACCCAGTTAAAACTCGCAGGGCAACCCCTTCTGGGGCCCCCAGGAGTTGGGGAACAGGCAGGCGCGTTTCCCTTTGGGGCGAGGGGGGCAGAGGCTTTCATCCTCCTTTTTGTCTTCCCCAATGGGGCTCTGTGAGGCGCCGCCTGGGTCTCAGGGGGGAGGGCTAAGCACCACGGGAGGGGTGACGTGGGAGAAGCCACTGATTATTGCAGGGACTGCGTGCTGGCTACTGTGCGGCTGCGGATTTGTTTGTGTTATTTCTCACTGCGCCTGTGTGAGACTCGATTCCTTTTCTTAACATCAGGAAACTGAAGCACAGAAAATCTCAGGGGCTGTAAGTCTGGTCTTTAACTGGGTTTGTGACCTCAAGCCGGCTGGCCTCTTGGGGTGCCTCCTAATCACTCCCCACCCCAGGAACAGGGAGGGCACCAAAACCTTGAACATGCCAGTGACTTGCGTTGCTCCCGAAGCAGGTGAATCCCGTACCCCGAGGGTGATGTGGACTTGGCATCACAGCCCTCTACCCTAAAGCCCACGTTCTTTCTAGCACATAACACTATCCCAAAGGTACAAGCACCATTCTCAACCCTGTCCTCTCCCCGAAGCCGCCACCATCACCCCAGCTGGTGGCCCTGTTGTCACATGCTAGGACTTTCCTCTTTCTCCTGTTCTGGGACCAGCTTCATTTCCCTCTGGGGAAGAGCAGGCCACAAAAGACGCAATCAACCATTTCCAGCCTGTAATTATGTCCTGAAAACCCATCGCTGGCACCCCCGATATGCTACCACCCCCGAGCGATGGGCCCCAGTCTCTGGGTTCTGGGGCACGACACACACAGCTGCCAGCAGGCACAGTGGCACCTGGTATGTGCACCCAAGAGGGCAGGACTGGGCAGTGGGGGGCCAAGGCCAGCCTGGGCCCCCCAAGGCGTGTGTTTGCAGTTTTATGGCATTCTGAGGACTCACCAGGGCCACACAGCACAGCTCAGTCCTCTGGCACTGCCCATCACGATGCCCAGGGTAGAGTATGAAGTAGTTTTCAGTTAGGGGACGTCAGATCCAGGCAAGACGGGGGCCAAGGGCACTGGAAAGGGACAGAGGAAACGGGGTGGTTAACATGTGGCCGGTTTCATGAATTCTAGAAAAATGTAAAATTTGTCTGGGACTACAAAGATGTGTCAATGAGGCATCACTATTCCAGGCACTTCTTAAATGGGCTTTTGAACGTATTGGGGGTGGGAAAACCCTAGAGGGAAATAGGGGACGGAGGGCCTATGAGGCTGGGGAGCTTCAAAGCTTCGAGCCAGACCCTGAAGGGTCTTATGTGCCAGGCAAAGGCTCTGGGACCACGTCCCAGAAGCTCCGGGAAGTGAGATGGAGGATTGAAAACAAGACAGTGACAGGGTCAAAATGGCATGTTAGAAAGGTCGCTCCGTGAGAGTGAACTTTGCAACGCGTTTCACCCAGCCGCCCCACCTGGAAGCACTAGGGGGTAAAGGAACAGGGTTTGCAGGCTGAGCTGCAGTGGTGCTCGCTGTGGGTCACCGCTAGTAAAAAAATACATATATACGGGGCCAACTCAGATCTCCTTTTCTGGGTGTCCATTGAGCAGAATCGTGTTCATTAAAACCTCGGTTCGTGACATGCCCTCATTTATCTATGCCAGGACCACTTTTCATTCGTACTTATTTTCTTATAATATAACAAGCACCCATGAGCCTATGGCCCACCCTGACGATGGGGGCTTTGACCAAAGCTTCTACTGCACACGCTCTCCTCCCCCAGCACACTCACGGCTGGGGTTTCCAGCAGGAGAGGAGGGTCTGACCACCAGCGGGGCACACATACTCCGGAATATTAAACAGCTCTTAAAAAGAATTAAAGAGCCGAGACCAGCTATCTTCCAATGGACCTCAGTATTCGGTACAGAACTGGGTTAATCACGCTCCTTTGTTCATAAACCCTTTCTCATCACTGGTCCAGGCATGTATGTTCCTGTTTTATTTTGCTAATTTATGCATCCGTAGATTCATCTATGATAATGTCATGAACACTCGGAGCCCACTCCCCACATCTAGGCCTTAGCAATTACTTACACCTGCCTCTACAACCCATTCCCACGGGTGAGGACCAAGGGCTTTCGCGACGGTGACATAAACTCGGGTGTGGAAGGATTACAGGGGCTAGTGTTGTTCTAAGGAAGGACGTTGTTGCTCTTTATCGTCTCCAAGCAAATTCCCAAGTGAAGAAACACAAGCGGCACAAAAAGGAATTGTACCCTATGATATAGCCAATGCAAAATATGAACAAAACCATATACTTTAGAGGTCATTTCTATACATATGCAAAGACACAGAAAACATCTGCAACCATTACCCTGAAACCGAAAACTGCAGTTCATAAGGGAGGGCGGGGGAGGGATTGGAGCTGGCTTTGGCTTTTCTCTGAAGTGTTTGATTTTTAGTAATGGCTGTATTAATTATCAATGCATTTCTTGCATAATTCAAATAAACATATTGTGTGTGGGGTTTTGTTTTTCCACAAATTCAAAAGGAGGAGCATTTTGGCTGATACATGGGGAGTGGACACGTAAGCCCAAAACAAGTTCTGCAGACACAAGGGATTTATTTTATCCCAAAGATAATTCCTTTTTTAATTTATATGTTCTAAAGCTGGAGCCCTGAAGCTCCGAGTGGCGTGTCAGTGACATGAGGCCAGCAGGTGTGCCAGCCGGCCGTGATTTCACTCCCCACAGGCCCCAAATACCCTCAGAGCCACCCGGCTGGTGTCTGCAATGCACCCATCGGGGAGTCCTTTTTCCTTTTTGGCCTTTAAGAGGCCCCCAAAAGCGAATGCCCTGGCCTGTGTTCTCGGGGATTAGCTAACTGGAACGAGAATGTGACATGAGATAGGCCCAGGCAAAGGGGACCCACAGGCCTCTGGGGAGCGGCAGCCTGCAGCTCACATGCGCCAACAGCCGCATGGCTTGCTGGCCCTGCTGTGTCCGACCGCTCAACTCCCGTGTGGAACCCACAGCTGCCACGTTTCTTCCCAGTTTTAACCAAGAGGGAGTGTGGCTAAAGGACGTGGGCTATTTCTAACCTGTCGCTCCATGAAAATGGGAGCAACCTTGCAGGTCTCTGCCTGCCCCCACTTCTGCACCCCAACTTGCTGTCACAATTCCCTTGCACCCCAACTCCTGCTCCCAGGCCCCTTCGGCTGTCGCAGGCTGTCAGAATCCCTCAACAAGCACAGGGCTAAGTGTGCAGCAAAGATGGTCCCACTGTCACTGACAGATAAAGGCTCCCATCGAGGCACAGAGACCCCGGGGACACAAGGCCAGGCCAGCTTGAAACCCCAAGCAGTCTGAACCCTCGTTCATCTGCTCACATCACCTAGCTGGTTACTTGGTTAGTGTCTCTTCCCCCACTAAGCTAACACAGATGAGCCCTTCTAGAACGTTCCTCCCCTCTGGCGAGCAAGACCTATTTTTGACCATGGCTTTGTGTGGAAGAAATGTGAGCACAGGTTAACCAGTTCTCTGCCAGCGTGACCAGCTATCTGTCGCCTCCGCACACACGAGGCTCTGCTATTCATTACACAGCTTCTTATTTGGGGCTGGGTTTGGTCCTGGTGAATCCTTTGAGGTATCTGTGATAGTTTTCCAGATACAAGATATATTTGTGATAAGTAAAAGTAAAATGCAGTGCCCCAGGTGAAGTTACCTGCACCACCTCTGGACCGCACAATTCACCATGCAGGTGGTCATGCCTCCCTGAGGCTACGTGACCCAGGCCACGCCAATAAAGTGATGTGGTCGACTCAGGAGATGGCCCTCTGGACCCAGTCCTGACCCCCCCCCCGCCGCCCCCATCCCTGTTCCGCTTGTCTGTCCTCTGGAGTCTAAAAAAATGAGGAGGGCTTTCAAAGGGACAATAAGGGGACAGATCCACCTAAAATAAAAACCATTTTTACATGTGTTAAGGTGCCTGCTGCGTGCCAAGCAGTTTATATTCTATTTCATTTAAGGCATCAAGGCAATGCTTAAAGACAATTGTCCCCATCCTACAGGAGAGGGAGAGGGGGACTAACAGTAACTGGGGGTCCTGCCCTCTCTGCCCCCTGAGCAGTCCGCTTGAGCCTCAATCACAGATGTGCCAGGTGCTGGCACCCCTTAGATATATGGTGAGAGATTTTAACACCTCCCTTGATTACATATATAGATAAGAGTAATAGCGTTATCCTGGGTGTTTAGCTATAGTAAGGCTGTATAACCCCGTGCCCCCCACTCCTCCAGGCCCCTACCTCCCTCGAAAAGGCTGTCAATGTAACAGAGCAGGATGTACATACCTGGCCTGCTGCCAGGTCAGCCTAGGAGGGCCCCACAGCCCTCTGGCAGAGGTGCCATCTTGGGGGTCTGGGGCTGGGCCCCATCCTGGCCTCAGGAACCCACCACCAACTCACTGCCCATCTGGGGGGCAGTGAGCCTCAGCTGCAGAACAAAGGGCTCAAGTTAGTTCCATTCTGAGACATGTACACATTTACAAATTATCCAAACTTAAAAATTGGGGGAGAAGATCATTTTCCGACCTTAGATTCAATCCTGAGTCAGGCGTCTGCTTCCTCCCCGGGAGACAGCGGCCGCCTTGCATCCACACCGCCTGGGAGACAGAAGAGACATTGCTCGCGGGGTTCACTGGCCAAGGCGCAGCCCACCATTCTGAGCCGCTGCGTCGGGCCTCGCCTGCTGCCCGCTGCCCTACAGTGTGCTAGGGGATGAAGGAACAGCAAGTACAGACTGATACCGGGGGCAGGAAAAAAACTACGGGGATCCCCATGGACGTAGACAGGGGTCCTGGGTGACGGAGGGACCACCAGCCAGGGAGGATGCTACTTAAAACTGCTGTGGAGTCAAAACTCAGGGAGCTGAGAACGTCACTCAGGGTCACAGCAGCGGCCAGGCCTCAGGCTCATGTCAACTCTGACGTGCATTTGCTGGAGAGCAAAATGGGGGTCCAGCAAGAACAGGGGGCTCGCCAAGAGCTGGGGAGTCACAGGGCAGAAGCTGGGTGTGAGCGCCAGTGTGGACCTCAGCTGGGTGGACGTGTGGCCTGGGTCAGTGCCGTGTCCCTGGGCCTCAGGGCTCCCCTTCTGAAAAATGGGAGGCAATAACAGTAACCCCTTCACGAGCCGTTACAAGAATCAGGAGAAGGAAAACAGTGCCCAGCACATAGTAGGCACTAAAGAAATATCATGGAGGGACCCAAATGCAACCACGTAGAAAACAGAAGGGGGTGATGTGATCACACGAGAAAAGCAGCAACAAGGCTGCATGTACACTATGATGGCTACTGTGGAAGATGCATGCTCTTCCCAAAGCCCAGACTTTCATAATTAAAGACCTAAATTTATCCAATAACTTTTTAGAAAGAAGCGAGGTTCCAGTCGACAGGACCAGAACAGAGCCACTGAACGCTCACATCAAAGGTAAGACATGGGGTGGGGGTCCCATGCTGACCTCCCCCAGGGATGGAGGGGGGCTGATGGATTGGGGGGTACCTGGGCAATTAATGGGGGTGAGCCAGCGCTCTGGAAGAAAGGTTAAAAGGTTAAAAGGTCGGCTTGCCTGAAAGAAAAGCCATGACATGGGGGACTCAATACCTCTGTTCAAATACTTGAGCGGATATGATTAGCAGGTCTTGGACCAGCTGACCTGCCCCTCCACCAATAAACAAATTAACCAAAATGAGTCGGGAATGACCACATGAGCTTTCTGGGGAGATGGAGGCAGACACTGAGGCCCCATTCCTCTGTTCTGGCCTCCCATTGGGCCACGAGGCTGACCGTGTGGACCATGGAGTGAAATAGACCTCGCTGGCCCAGAGGGTCCCTTCAAGGTCCCCAGATGGCCACTGCCGACCCCACCCAGGGCATCTGCTCCTACCCTCTCCATCCACCAGTTGAGGGAGGAAAACCTGGCTTTAAAAACGCCATCCCTGACACTTCTTTCCTGAACTGGACCTTCTAAACCTCCGAATTCAATGCTGTGAAATGGGGAACACCCCCACCTCGTTTAAGGAGCACAGTCAGTATTAGGGGCTGAGTGCCGAGGGTCCTGCCTGACACTGAGCAGACACTTAGGGAAACATCAGTCTTATTAAAATCTAATGGCCCCTGTGTGAACGACACGTGCCTTCTAAACCTACATACCCCACCCTCACAAGCTGCAGTCATCGGCCCGTTGTCACCAGGGGTGTTCAGTGGCCTGGGCCCGAGTGCCATTGCCACATCTAGTTACAGCTCCTGGGCTAGCGACTTCACCCCTGGACTCTGGTTCACTCACTTTCCAGGCAGGGCATCGTCACCTCGCGGGGTTAGCAAAATAATTAAAAGTTGGTATCATGTGTGAACACGCTGTCTGAATCTTGACCATTATAATTACAGCAGATGCTCTAAAAGTAGTAACACGAAGAGACCTAACGACACAACAGGCCCTTGCTGTTCATAGCATTTCACAGTATACACAGGGCTTGACACAGCCTTCTCCCCTGGGAAGAGGTGTTCCTTCAATTTGTGAGTGGGGGCCCTGAGGCCAGCCTCTGCCTCCCACTCTGGCTCTCATCCCACGGGCACCGTGCTCCTAGATCTGCAGCTCCTGGCTCGTCCACACAGCAACAGACCACCAAGCATGGAGGGAGCCCACCAGAGACACACGCAGAGTCCACTGAGACCCCTCCCAGGCCGGCTGTCCAACCTGGATAAACACTAGAAGGAACCACCGGCCTGTGCTGCCAACAGTGGCTTACATGTGGGGACCTCTAATTAAATAAAATAGGACCCCCAATTTTTAAGAGCAGCTGATGGAATTGAGGCCGGGTGGGGGGGGGTGGCACCTGAGCGCTACCTGCTCAGCCAAGCCCCTCCCTTCATCACTGCTCCCCACAGTCACCCCTCGAGCACCTCTCAGGGCCCCAGAGTGACAGGAGCAAAGTGAGAAGACCACTACCCAAGCCTCCTTGCAGATCTGGGGAAACTGAGGGCCCAGGAGGAGGCGGTCACCCTGCGAGTCAGCGTGGGTCCCCAGCGGGCAGCTGGCACACTCCTTCCCTACCAGCTTCCCTTGAAAGGCAACAGCAGCTTCAGGAGCAGCTGACTGGCCTGGCCGATTTGGGCAGCGCTCATCCGTGACCCGTCTCTCAGCCCCTCCCGCAGGCAGCACTCTCCCCTTCCCAGGGTTATTCTGGGCAGAGTGATCCAACTGCCCCCTGGAGCTGCCAGTCAAGGGGTGGGGGGCAGGGCCTCAGCTGCAGGAACATTGCTGGGTCAGGGGCACTGCCCTTTACCTTGATGGCCTGGGAAGGTGAGGAGCTGCAGGGACCTTCTCCAAGCGGCCCCCTACCCAGCCCGGTTTGGGGTTGGAAGAGAAGCACTGGAGACAGCCCCAGCTGTGCCATAACACTGTCTTGAGTCACGGCGACCCCCTTCCAGAGACTCAGTTTCCCCAATGGTGCCCAAAGCCCAGTGGGGCCTGAATATCCCCGGGAGCCGAGAGAGGAGCGAGACTACCTGCTCCGGGTCAAGGTGAGGAGGCTCTCTCAATTGTAAGGCCCAAGCGGTCTCTAGCCACAAGCCAGGAGTTGGAGTGGAGAGGACAAGGGCCTGGGAGAGGCTGTGCCAGGCCAGCAGCCCCTGCAGTTCCCACAGTCCACTGAGACTCTCCTCACGGAGCCACTCTCGGGCCCCCATCGCTGTCCTTATGCGGGAAGACAGGGAGTTGAAAGGAATGACCACACCACGCGCACACACCCAGGAAACCAAGAAGGACCCCAGCCTTAGCCTGCCACGGGCTCATCTTCTTCACCTTGACATTAACTCAACAAAACAACTAACAACCCGTGGCCCTCCCAGTGTCCCTGTGTGACCACCCCCACTGTGATGCTCGGGTCCCATCCGTGCCAGCAGCAGGACCAGGGCAGTGGAGGGAGCAAACGGGGAATATTCATTTTGAAGTCACTTAGCCCCTAAAACCTGGTGGCTGTGTCCGTCACACTCAGGTGGCTCTGAGTATATCCTAGAGGTGGACAGGGGTCTTCACCTGATGTTGGCCCTGATGCCCATCCTGGTAGCCCGCAGACCCAGAGGCTCCAGGTGTGACGGCTAGTGTCTGAGAGGCCAGAAACAGGGAACATGGAGCCCCCATTCTCATGCCTTCCCCTTCCACCCGCATGCCAGGTCTTTCCTACTATCTCTACCTTCCTGCTCAGCGATTTGGGCCTCCCACCCTCCTCCCTGTCCTCACCTCTCCCCTAATTCCTCCACTCCCCGGCCCCTGCCCCCCGCCCCAGGCTCAACTCTGCTCCTAAATATCCTCTCATCTCCTCTTCCAAGCTCTATTTTTAAAATCAGATTTCCTTTACTGTACAAGTGAGCTGATAGGGAGAGGTATTTGCTGAGGGATTGGCCCCCCCCCGCCCCCCCACAAACCCAACCCTTCATAGACACACGTTGGCAGCCCCGACCCAATGGGCCACTTGCTCAGAGGCAAGCAAGGAGCTAACCTGACCGAGAAGGCTCTGGGCACTGCAGGCGGTGAGGCTGGGGTATCTGGCTATGGGTGTCAGGGGGACAGGGTCTGACTCAAAGACCCCAACCCAGGTGCATTAAATCCTAATTTTTTTTGGGGGGGGGTGGGGGGGCGGTGGAGTTAAGGTGAGAATTTCCAAATCAGTTGATATTTCTTCAAGAAACTGTCCTGAGGCTTGAGACCTCAGCATGTCATCAAGCGGCACTTATAGGACTGAGAGCCCAGAAAAGAGGCAGGGGCAGGCTGTGGGCTTGTGGAGGATGGAGGACAGGGGCCAGAAGGGAGCACACCGTGACTGTATCATGATAAGTGGGAGGGCAGAGGCATCTCTGCTTTCTGAAATGGTGGCCCCACTAATACCCAAAGTCCTCGCAAAAGGGCGGACAGCTGAGCCCAGCGAACCCTCAAAGGAGAGGCTCACTAGGGGTAGAGGGAGACCCCTGGCCTTGTCCCCCAAGACCCCGCGCTCACCTCCAGCATGGCACGTAACTGCGAGGGCGTGGTCCTCCCCGTCTTGCTGGTGATGGACATTCTGCTGAGCGAGGCTGCCTCCATTTCGTTACCCCAGGGACCCAGCACAGTGCCTGGCCCGGAAAAAAAGAATCAGGACATGCAGCTTGTGAATTAACGAATGATCCACACAGGTACTTTCTCAAAAACATAAAAAGACCTGGGGACAATCAAACTGGGATGTGTTTGGGGGCAGAAAGTAAGAAATCCGGTCTTTCAGGAGCGCACTAGAAAGAGCAACGAGGAACTGAAGCTAGAATTGGAGATGGTGAAAAGTTTTGGTTTCATGCAAAGGGATGTAGGCTTTTTATCCTTAGGAATGGAGAGCAATGTAAACATTTTTCAATTTAACAAATAACGTGGTACAATTTCCACTCCACGTTCAGGCCTCTGGGTTTTACGTTGAGACATGAACTGTGGAAGATTTTAAACTGAGAATACCAGGAGTAAATCTGGGTGCCAGGCTAAGATGCTGAGATATGTCGTTAGCAATGAAATACATGAAAAGATTTTCAGCAGGGGTGTCATGAATAGGCTTGGGGTTTGGGGAAGAAATCTGGACTTTATTTTGAGGAGTGACACTATCAAAGGTTTCTATCATGCTAAGGAGTTTGGGTTCTTGCCAAAGGGTTTTAAGAAATGTGATGGTGAGATTTTTGCTCATGGGAGATAAGTCTGCAGAACAACATGATAAAACATATTTTTAAGGCTCATGGCTTTGGACTTTATATTATAGGCAATGAGGAAACATTAAAAATTGTAAGTAGAACAGCCACAAATTTAAGCATCATGCTAAACCATTTGGACTTTATCGGTGGAGGGGATGCTAACGTTTGACTTTGAGAGTGTGCCAAGGAGATTTTGGCACCCAAGTTGAAAGACGTTAATCAGAGGACTTACATGATCAACACTGGGAATATGCAAAAATATTTGGAATTTATTTCCAGGCTCTGACATGATTAGATTTTTGCACATGTCTAGGAATTTGATTTTAGCCAATAAAAAGTTGTAAGAGAAAGACATGGTGAGAATTTTTTTTATACACGATAAATAGTACATAGTGAAGTTGCAAAATAAAATTCACATTTTATGCTAGAATTTGGACTTTTATTCCATAATTTCTACAACTGAGAGACGGTGTAAGATTTGAAGGAGGGGTTACAGGATCCAATTTGATATACTGTGCTAGGAAGTGTGAATTTTATTTTAAGGGATGACAAGATCGAACTTTTATAACATGCTAATAAGTTTGGATGTAAGCCAATGAAGGGTTTAAAAGAATGACAGGGTGAGATTTGGGGTTTTTTATAGACCAGTCTGAAGATAGAATACATGGTAAAGCATTGCATTTTATGTTAAGTAGTTGGGACTTTATGTTACAAGCAATGAAGAAACCTTGAAAAGTTTTAAATTGAGGATTTACATGATCAAACTCATATATTTGGGCAGATCTACAAAAGTGGATTTTTATGGTAAAGATAATATGATCAGATTTTTACAGCATGCTAAGGAGATGGGATTTTCTGGGAGACTTAAAGGCATTGGAGCATTTCACTTTGGGGAGGGATATGATCTCCTTTTTGAACCCTCATGCAGAGGCTTTGGATTTTAGCCAGTAAAGGGTTTTGAGAAGTGACTGATGAGAGTTTTGCCTCCAGGGGAGTTAGCTGGTAAAACATGTTTTATGCTAAGGTGTCTGGATTTGATGAACCAGATAATGAATGAGCCTGGACAGCTCAAAGGAGGCACCCTTGGCACAAGTGTACCCTGTCCGGACTGCACGCTGAAGAACTGGGTCATTTATAGCAAGCAGTAGAGGGGCAGGACAGGTCTCATGCAGAGGTCACGTAATTGATGTCACACAGCACGCTAAGAAGTTTGGACACTATTTGGAGGAATGACAGGGTCACATTCTTATGCGCACTAAAGAATTTGGATTTCAGCCATTAAGAGACTTTAAGAGAGGGACATGGGGAAATTTCTGTGTTTGGTAAGAGCAGTATGCAGAGAAATTACAGAGTAAGATGTATATTTTATGCCAAGGAGTTTAGGTCTTGTCTCCAAGGTGATTAAGAGATATGATAGGGTTTTAAGCAGAAGTTACCGGACCAAATTCATGTATCTTGCAAGGAAGTGTGAGGGACCTTTTATTTTGAGGAACGACACAGTCAAATTTTTGTATCATGCTTAGAGGTTTGGAATTAAGCCAGGAAAGAGTTTAAGGGGTGGCCCGGAAAGATTTTCAGTTCTATATGTCCATCAGTTCGCAAATAAAATACATGGGAAAAAATTTTATTTTATGTTAAGTGATTGGAATGTCATATTATACACAGTGAAAAAAACTTTTATAAGGTTTAAATAGAGAAGTTATGGGATAGCTTTTATGCATCTTGCTAAAAGTTTGAACTGTGATATTAAGGAGTATTAAGACCAGGTTTCTATAACATGCCAAGAATACTAGATTTTAGGTTGAAGACAGGAATGTTGAAGGATTTAACAGTTACATCAAATTTGTAAATATATTAATACATACAGATTTTATATTAAGAAGGGATGCAGCCTGTTTTTTTAAATCATCTTACTAAGGAGTTTATATTTTAGCCAATAAAGAGTTTTAAGGACTTTAAGAGATATACTGAGAGTTTTAATTTTAGCCAATTTAAATTTTTAATTTTTTAATTTTAGTCAATAAAGGGACTTTTACAATAATACACACCTTATAGGACCTTTAGGAAGAGGAAATGAGTTAACGAATGCAATATGCTCTGCATATGTTGCTGTGATGGAGGCTGGATAGGCTGGTGGTGACGAGTGAAGGGGAGGAGGACTTTACGTAATGTGTACATCATGCTAAAAAAAATGTAATCTCTACCTTGAGGATTGACATGATCAGAACTTGCTATGATTCTAAGTCCTTGAAATATTAGGCAGAAAATTACTTGGGTGTGTTTATGTGTCAGGAATTTTTACGCTAAAAGATTTGAATTTAATATTGCAGACAGTAAATAAACAGCAAAAGGTTTTAATCAGAGGGCCTGTGGGATCAAATTTAACGGTCATGCCAACAAGAATGTACTTAATTTTGAGAAACAGCAGATCAGAATTTTGTACCTTGTTGCAAAGTCTGGGTATTAGCCAATGAGGAGTTTTGAAGAAGGGCACTGTGTGTTTTCTTTTTTTAATGGATCGGCCCATTAGTAACAAAATGTGTAAAATGTAAAGAGCAGCAACTGTACAGATAATCTACTGAATGACCAGAATTCAACTTGCTGCGCCCCAGCAGAGAACTAAGCAAATAACGCCAACGAAAACATCTCAAAATTCAGTCTCAGCCCACTAAAACCACCCATGACTAGACTTTGAAAATTCCCTTCCAAGGCAATCAGATGTCAAAGATACCTCCTGTCCTCCCCGGACCCCTACCCGTCTCTTAATATCCCAACTTGACGGGATACACCCCTCTGTTGGGGGAAAACCAACCAGCAACAGAGAAGGGGTGTCTGTACTAGAGCAAACAGGTCAGCCCCACCTGATAAACATGGGCCAGTCAACACATTTGGATGTGTGAACTGAGGCTAAATGTCTGAAGTTCCGGAAACCCCATTAAGAGGGCAATTCTGGGGAAGTGATGATTTTACGGGTGGGGGGGGGGGAGAGAGAAGGCTCGCAGTTCTCCTCAACAGCTCAGGGCTGAGGAGAACACAGTATTGGAAGTCAGTGAAAGGGAGGAAGGGAAATCAGCAAAAAATTTCGAGTCAAAATCACGTCACAGATGCGCAAGTCTCTGGCACATCCTAGAAGTTTTATAAACGTTCATGGAAAAAAATAAAACCCGGAATCCAGACCTCTCTATCTGCCTCCCCCCCAATTTCTACTTTGAATCTAGGGGAGGAAGTAAGAGCTATTTGGAGATGCTAACACAGCTGACTGATGGGAAAGTGGCCAGGTGCCCACTTTTTCCTCTTCCCCTGAACTTGTCAAACAGTGGGCGTCTCTGCTAGAGGTTCCCGCCTAACACCAAGGAGGCCAATCTCGCTCCAGGGCACTTTGCCTGCCAGGGCCGGCTTTGGATGGCACTGCGATGTGACCTCTGTGACTTCTGGGTGACCACAGAAGGGAAGGAGGATTGACCAGGCATGTGTGCCAGGGTGAAATGAAGCTGCCAGCACATCCTGCCAGGTGCCTGCCTGCCACGGCGGCGCTCTGGGCCCATCGCCCCAGAAAATTTATGAGCTGTGAATTTCTCATAGCCACGGGGAAGCAGGCAGGCCAGACCGGCAGAGGACGCCTGGGAGAGTAGTTCTAGCTAGAAGGTCAGGCGTGGACAGATGCTCTCCCTGGGGGCACCCCCGGTGGGACACAGGAAGGCTCTCCCCATTTCTCTGTTCTGATGAGTTGGGCATCTGGTTTGTCCTGCAGAACCTGACCTGACGTCTGGAGACCCTAAACCACTATCTTTCCTCCCCACCCCCTCCCCCACCAGGTTCTGATCCCTGTGGTCCCAATCACTGACGGGACGTATCGCCACCTTACCAGTCTTCAGAGAACACTCCTTTCCATCCGACGAAATGATAGAACCCTCTGAAGACTCATTTGAGACGATGATGGAGCGTAAGAATCCATCATCAAAACAAATGGAGTCCTCCGAGGGCTCATCCAACACCGCCGTGGAGACATCGGGCAGCGGAGTGCAGGAGGCGGCGGGACCGGCCAGCGGCCCAGCCCAGGAAATGGCAGAGCTGCCCATTGATCTCCTCCAAGACATGGAGGAGCCATCCAGTGGCCCACATAGGGAAATAAAGGATCCACCCAATGACCTACTCCAAGACCTGGAGGAGTCACTCATTGGTTCACATCAGGAAGTGGGGGATCCACGTGGTGAGGCACCTGGCAAAATGGAAGAAGCATCAGGCAACCCATGGGTAGACCAGGAAGACGAAGATTACAACACTGACCTGGATGAATCAGGAGAGGAAGAGCGTCCTGAAGAGCAGACCGACACCTCGACTGCAGAATTCATGGCCATGGTGAGGTCCATCATCTCTCTGTACTTCCGGATGCAAGACCTCAGAGAACAGCAAAGAGTCGCAGAAGAGATCTTGATGAAAGGGATCAGCGCGGGCCAACTGCCACTCCCGAAACACTTCTCCGGGGATCGCAGAGAATACCACGAGTTTATCGTGCTCTGCCAACTGATCTTACAAAGCTACCCCAGAATGTTCTACAACGACCGCCTGCGAGTGGGGTACATCATCTGCCACCTCTCCGGCTTGGCCTTAGAATGGGCCAAAGGGCTGGTGCAGGAAGACAGCCCCCTGATTGGCGACTTCCCGGCCTTCCTAGAGGCCATGTCAGATGTGTTCGAGTACAGGCAGGCGCTGCGTGTGGCAGAAGAGGCCATGTTCAACATCAGGCAAGGGGATCGCGCCGCCATTGACTACATCAACGAGTTCCAGGGCCTGGTACCCACCTTAGGATGGCCAGACGAAGTCCTGCAGGCCCACCTGTGCCAGGGGCTTAACGAGGAGATCAGGCATTATCTGTTCCGGGTCCCTCAACCGGATTCGCTGGACAGTCTGATTGTGCTCGTCCTGCAAATAGAAGAGAAGCTGGCAGAGAGAAGAGCCATGCTTAGGCTGCCCCCAGAGGCCCGCCCACGGAACCTGACCTGGATCGACTCACCTGCTCCAGAGAGGTGGATGGTTAGCAGCTGGCTGCCCTGTGAAGTCCACCCCACCATTGACCGCGACCATCTCTTCCTGCTGCTTATGGTGAGAGTGAACCCTTACCACAGCGTCGCAGTCCAGGCCCTGGTAGACTCAGGGGCGGGCGCCAACTTCATGGATGAGAGGTTCGCCCAAGAGCACTATGTTGAGCTGTACGAGAAGCCCTACCCACAGCCGATCCAAACCATGGATGGCTCGCTGGTCGGCAACGAACCTGTCTGGCTCTACACAGAGCCCCTAGTGTGCATCCACCAGAACCACCAGGAGTCCATCGAGTTCGACATCGTCCCTTCACCCAACTTCTCCGTGATCTTGGGCATCAACTGGCTCCGAGTCCACACCCCCGAAGTTGACTGGGTCAAAGGCCGCTGCACCTTCCACTCTCCCTACTGCCTGAAGAACTGCTTCCGCCCGCCCCCACCATGCATCGCACTGGAGAGACATGCCATAAGCCTGCTACCCGGACTGCCGCCCCAGTATTCCGACCTGGCCGACGTGTTTAACCCGAAGGAAGCAGATGATGAGACTTCCGACCAGCCAAGCTCAGACGGATCCGATGATCTTTCTGAATCAGAGCCCTCTGAGCTTCAGCAGGCTGGAGACAGTGATCACAGCGAGACCTTCTACGAGTGTCCCTCCTCCGCGCCTTGGGAACCTGTGGGTGCTGGGATGCAAGAAAGAGCCAGGCTGCGGGACGAATACTGGGACCTGCAGGACATGCTGACCAACAGACAGGACTACATACAGATGATTCCAGAACTATTCGACCAGCTACACGGAGCTACATGGTTCACAAAGCTGGAGCTGCGTGGGACCATTGTGGAGGAAAGCATGAACATACACCAAGCAGAGGATGTATGGAGGGCGGCGTTTGGTTTGGAGCTCCAGGAGATGGAGAGCTACAAGCCCTTCCTGATCTCCTCAGACCCTACCATCCCTCAGAGCGTGATTCACTGTATCCTGAAGGACATGCTAGGCTACTCTGTGCTTTCCTATGGGCAGGACGTCCTCATCTACTCAATGAGCCAGGAGGAACACCTCCAACATGTCCGCCAGGTCCTGGTCCGCTTCCGGCACCACAACGTCTACTGCTCCCTGGACAGGAGCCAGTTCCACCGACACACTGCCGAGTTCCTGGGATTCGTCATGACCCCCAAAGGGGTGAAACTGAACAAGAACATCGTGACCACAGTAACAGGGTACCCCATCCCTGGCTCTAAGAAGTCCCTGCGACACCTGATCGAGTTCATCTTCCCCTACCGCCACTTCGTGGAGCGCTTCACCATCATCACGGAGCCCCTGGTGCGCCAGCTGCTGACCACCGACCCGTTCTTCTGGGGGGATGAGGAGCAGGAGGCCTTCGAATGCCTGAAGCGGGCTTTCCGCAAGGCGCCCCTTCTCCACCACCCCAAGCCCCAGAACCCGTTCTACTTGGAAACAGGAGTCACCAAGACGGCTCTGCACGCCTCCCTGATCCAAATAGATGACCAGACCGGCAAGAGAGTCTCCTGCGCTTTCTACTCCCGAAACATCTCCCCGATCGAGGTCGACTACTCTCAACTAGAGATGAAGATTCTTCCAATACGGGCTGCCTTCATGGTGTGGTGCCGCTACCTGGAGAACACCGAGGAGCCCATCATGATCCTTCTCAACACAGAGGATCTAGCCTCTCTGAATAATGACAGGCTCACCGTACTTCTCCCCGGGCATTGGGTCTTCTTCTTCTCCCACTTCCGCTTTGATGTCATGGAGCGGCCCGAGCAAGATGGTGGCCGGCCTCTGCCGCCCGTGAGAAACCCCTACCGCAGGCCTTTCCAGCCCCGCACTGCCACCCAGCCCCTGATGCTCTTCGCCACGAGACGATCCCACAGGGATCAGCTCCCAGAAGCCGCAGAGGAAGAGGAGAGTGAAGATACACCCCACCAGGATGAGCCACGTGGGCAGACCCTCCAGCAAGAGTTCCTGGCCCGGATACCAGCTGACCAGATACTCAACAGCCTCCTGGCCCATCTCAGCGTGGCCCAGATCAGAGCCGTCATTCTGCACTTCTTCCGAGGCCTGCTGTTCTGGAAGAACACCCTAGCCGTGGCAGCCCTCCTGGTGATGCTGAAGGCAAGGCGGCGCCTCCCGCCGCTGCCCGCACCCACCCTGGAAGTGGCTCCGGTCCCTGCCAGGCGCTCCCTGCGCCTCATCCTGGACTCGACCCTCCTCACAAACCACAGCATCTCCACAGCCATCACCCAGCTGCTCACGCAGATGCCCTCTCTCCTGGGCGCTAACGCCCTCCCAGTGGAGCAGCGGGCGGAGCAGAGCGCCCTGCTCCCCCAGGCCCCCCAAGGCCTGCGCATCACACCCATGTTCTGGATGATGCTGTGTGAGCGCTTCGGTGTCAGAATCGCTCCCGGAGAAGGAACGCGCCCTTTACTGCGCGGGAGCCGCTACCTGGAGCTGCACGTCGTCGGTGGTGATGTCGTCTTGCGAGAAGCCCTGCAAGACGACCTGCAACGTTACCGTCAGTGTGGCCTGCATGACGGCCTGCAAGACACCTCGCAGGACGCGCAGGAGGACGACGTGCAGGAAGACGACGTGCAGGAAGACGACGTGCAGAAAGACGACGTGCAGGAAGACGATGTGCAGGAAGACGACGTGCAGGAAGCCCGGACCGACAGCAGCCTGGCCGTCGCGCCCCGCCAACAGGCCCCCGTGGGCTCTGGAATCCTCAGCTTCCTACACAACCACCTGCGCGGTGCCCACGGGCAGGCCGGCCTGGCCGACCAGGAGCCAGCGGCCAGGGCCCTGACCCACTTTCTGGCCATGATCTGCACAGAGGCCCCGGGCCCCATCCGGGGGAGACAGCCCAGAGAAGGAGCAAGGCTGGAAGAACTCCCCGATGACGACGCAGACACAGACCACCACTGAAAACACCTCCTCGCCAGCAACAGGCCCTCCACTCCTCTGCTCCCAACACCCCACACAATCTCCTCCCAGCCTCCCTGTGCCTCAAGCCTGCTTCGCTCAGCCCCAGCGCTGCCTCCTTGCCACTCCTGACCCAAGGGGAACCCACTCGAGAAGGGCAATGATTTCTTCAACTCATCAACCAGCAACATCATCCGTGCCAATGGACTATCCAGTCATCAGAGACCCAGAGCCAGCTCAGGGCTACACATCCCGTCTTAATTCTCCAGGTCCCAGGCCCACCACTGGGAGTTAGATCAATGAGAGGAGAAAGCAGTGATGAGCAGGAAATGACCCCATGACCCCAGGCCAGGTGAGGAATCAGGCACAGCAGAGGCAGCCAAGCAAGCAGATGCCAGGGACCCGCCCCCCTGGAGTGACACGCGGCCACCTTGTGCCATCCTGGGACACTGACCTTGGGTGCTCCACTGATTTCTTCTACCTCCATCACCGGTGCTCCTGCTCCCCTGGGCCCCCCCACCCCCACCCCCATGTCTGGTGGTGTGCTGTGGT